ATTAGCGCCTATATACTAGTAAGTAAATATATAAATAAAAGGTAAAGGTATATAAAAACTTATAGTAGCTAGTAGACTTAAGCTTGTCTGCTATAGAAATAAGTATATTACTAATATAACGTATATACTTAGGCTTAAGGCTATAGATCTATATAAGAAAGTCTATCTTTATATAGCTTACCTTAACTTACTTAGACTTACGTAAAGTAGATAACTTACTACTAGATTACTTATTATTACCTAAGACTATATATAATTATAAGTATATAGAGAAATTAATAGGAAGTGTATAGAACTTACTAAAGCTATATAAGCTTACGCTAGAATTATATATATAATTTATATATAATACTATATTTAGTATAATAACGTAGGTTATATATAGACTATTACCCTTTTAGTAACTAATATATATATCTATACTAGAGCGTATAGTTCTATATACTTATATAAGAATAGAGTTACTATTTTATAGGCGTTTATACTTAAGTTTATACTTAACGCGTACACTATTATATACCTTTATATAGAGATTAAGTATCTAAGCCTATATAGAAGTAAGTATTATTATTAGATAGTATAGATATATATAAAAACTTACTTTAACGCTATTACCTATATTAAGGAACTATATAATAATAGCTTAGGATATATACTTAACTATAACTATATAAATTAGTATAAAATAAAGGGAAATATATAAAAGTGTGTATATATATTTATAGTAGTGTATAGTAATTTCTATATTAGTTAATTTAGGATATAACTATATAGGAATATACTTATCTATTAGGAGCTTTACACCCTTAATCTTATCTAGGATAAGCTTAGCTATATTAGGTAAGTATGTACAGACGTGTAGTAATTATTAAGGTGCTATATAGATAATAATAAAGGGGGATAGAAATATAAGGATATATAGGGAATATATAGGAATATATAGGAATATATAGGAATATATAGGAATATATAGGAATATAAGAATATATAAGGTAACGCTAGGCACCTACTAGAATATATAAAATTATAAAAATCTATAAAAAATAATAATTAGTTAAGTAGTAATTTAAGTAAAATAAGATAAATAAATAAGTAGGAAAAAGTAAATAAAAGTAAATAAGAATATATAGTTAGGGTTACTTATATACTCTAAATTAGGCGTAAGAAAAGGAAAGGAAGTTTAGAAGTAGGGGGAAATATATTTATACCCTAAGTAAGGGCCTATATAATTAGCCCTAGGTACGTACTATAAAGTATATACCTAGGGTACGTACTAATTTTTTTATTTACTAATTAGTAGGTTAAGGTAAATTAATTAATTAGTTATAGAATAGTATTTATAACTAGTTACTTAATATTATAGGCTATATAGATATAATACTATCTAAAAGAATAATTTACCTATAGGAATAATAAGTTACGTATAGCTTAGATTAATAGTATACAGTGCCTTTAGTAATTAATAGGGTATACGTAGTAGCCACTTGACTTTTGGACCAGTGCGCCCTGCAGGCTGCCGTAGGAAGGTACGGATACTCGGATTGTTTTCCATAGGTACGTTCCGTACTTTCCTATCATCTCGACACTCAACTGCGTACCCACCTAGGTAGGAACGGACCTGGGTACCTACTACCTATTCCATTCCGTAGTGTACTTTGCACCAAGACTCATCCATCTCCATCTTGTGCCATCGTCACTTTGATCAGACACTCAACTCACTCTTCCGACCAACATTATCTGCTTTGCAGAATCATCCTTTCTCTCTCTCTCTCTCTCTCTCTCTCTCTCTCTCTCTCTCTCTCTCTCTCTCTCTCTCTCTCTCTCTCTCTGTCTCTGTCTCTCCCCCCCGCCCTTCCATCGTCCAAAACAAAGGCATCGTCGCCAACGGTCAAAACGAAAAACCTCCGCGTCAACAACCAACTGTCCTGCTCGACTTCGCCATCCAATCATCGTCGGCCTGTCCGCCCAGGATATATCTGTACAAGTACGGATACCTATGCTCCATACATACGCGATGACGCCTTTGTCGTGGGCTAACCGAGTCGCCTCGCATTCTCCTCGCATTTACAACTTTACCACCACTTTTCCCATCGTTTCCGATACCCCGCCCACCAACCGTACCTAGTGTACCGTCCGCATTTGCCAATCGAACCCTTGGATGCCCATGTTTATTCCGCCTCTCGCACCTCATACGCATCTCTCTCTCTCTCTCTCTCTCCCTCTCTCCTTCGCACACCCATACTCAGCTCCTCCCGAGACAGCCCGCGTCGAGTGTCACGATACGCACCAAACAGGCGCGACAACGAGAAACATTCCATATCCTTGTCGCCATGCACTTGCACAAATCCTCCTCCAACTATGCGAAGCGGTGGGGGATGTTGGCCAGCCACTAGACGGTGTGTGGATGTGGGTGGCACCAGACCATCGGCAACAGAGCAGCTTCACTCAACCCCCCCAAGATATGCCTGCCAAGCGGGAACATTGTGTTTCATTGTCTGATGGCCATTGGCAGCAAACCCGCTGTGCCGCCCTCGGTGCATGGGCGGGCCCTCCGACCCACTAAACGGCAAAGCTGTGCCGCCCTAGCTACTTGGAGCTGCTTTCAACACTCTGCGGCTCAGCCGCCGTTCGACGGCCATCGCACGATGGAGGCGAAGGAGGCGAGGGAGGCTAGTGGTAGAAACGAGACAGAATGCTGTACCGAGTACTGCAGAGGGACAAAGCACGCAGCACGCAGATGCAGATGCATACGCGGGGCCACACACAGTTGATGCGCACTAGTGACGGGCGTGCGCCACACAGGCAATTCGCACAACACCTACCGAGTAGACGTGACGGCTCCCTTCTGTGGCCCCCTCCGCGAAGACCACCACCACCAAACAACCAACCAACCCTTTACCGCCAAGGTCTCCATTCCGCCAAGATGAAAAGAGGGCCACCGTGGAATGGAAAAAGCGGGGTGGTTGCTACTCCAAGGAGCCTGCAACATGTTCCTTCTCCTCAAGAGGCCTCCGCTTGAGGTCACTCCTCTTCGGCCACTCCGTCTCTTCCCAAAAGGCCAAGCCTTTCGCCCAGGAAGCCTCGCCTCCAAGCACCTCCACGCTTCCTTCTTGGCTGACTGGGAGAAGATTTGCGACTCTTGTTCTCCCCGGCACCCTTTCTTGTCGCCGTCTTGATCGTCGTCTGGCCCCTCAGTACCGGCCCCCCCCTGGCCTTCCCTGACTCCGCGTCCGGGATACCCTCTCTGCGGACACCGGAGGACGTTCGAATGAGGCCGGTATGGTCAGCAGCCCATGGGGTGCAAGTTCGCTGTGCTTCTTGTGCACTCGCCGATCCAACGGCCCTGGGCAGTCATCGGCATCAGCTCATTCTCAAACAGAGCCCATCCCAATTCCCGGAGCCCCCCATCCATCCACGATTTGCGCCCCTCGGAGCATGTTCCTTGTTACAATGACGGAATGCTCGCTGGCCACTCTTTCTGGTCCGGAACAATGAAGAGCAAATCGACTGTTGGAGAGACGAAGCCGCCTGCGTCCCCGATGTAAATGCCACGGAAATACGGACTAGCAGCCTTGGGACTCTTGGGGAAACAATCCCCAACACCCACAAAGCCCAAACACCGTCCTCAACCTACCTCCGCCAATGTTGTTTGTTGCAACACCCTTTTTGCAGCAGCACAGAAGTATACATGTGCCACTGCCCCGCGCGCCAAGAGGCACCGCCATCACCGCCAGCGCACCGAGGCCAGCCATAGTGTAGATATCATCGGCACTGCACTTTGGCAGAGTTCTCGGCATCCGCATTCACCCTCCGAGCGGTTGTCCACATGCAGAGACCATGCCGGCTGATACGCAAAGACTAATCCTAGGCTTGATGCCGAGCCGCTGCTGCTGGCCCATACCCAAACTGAGTTCGACCATTTTAGGTCATGGTGAACCATCAACCCCATATCCCTCCCTTGTCGCTTTTGACAGCTCGTCATAGTTTCACCACCACACTCCCGGCCGAGCAACCTTTTTGCTCACAAGCCGTCTGCCTGGTGACATAACCGGGTGTCCAACGTCGTTGGCGCCAGTCGGTCTGATAGAAACATACTGCGGCTACGAGATTGTGTGGGTGACGGCGATATTTTTGTTCACTCCTGGCCTCTGACGCGACTGTTCTCATGTCCACTCGTCTTCATCTGCGTAGGCTCTTCTCTCCCCTCGTACTCGTGAATGATGGAGGAAGCAGCTACGATGAAAGCAAGACACAAAGACAAGAGCTGCTTAGCGAGACGAGAGAGACGGCGAGCGTAAGTAGAGTTCGGCAATCAGTACTGCTCTAGCATGTCGCCGTCTCTCTTGTGCCCTCATGGCTTACCGGCCTTGGAACGACTCCTGGGTCTATACAGCATCTGCAAGCCGCTGGATTAGAATTATTACCGCAGAGCAAGGCAGGACCGAAGTCGGACATTTGGCCGATGTTGACACTGGTGCTGCATCATCAGACGATATAAGCAAGACATACGGAAGTTCATGATCAGGTTGAGCACATAGTTTCGATGATCACAGGCCGCAGTATAAGTCTTGATCCGTCACACAAGGGCATAGCAGACAAGTACTCGACACCCGAGGTTATGAAAAGAATGGGTGTCCATAACCTCTTGGGCTGAGGGGTTTCCTTGCGGCTTTTCCCTTTCTACCTCCATTTCACGGGTATCACTTGGAAGCTGCGTTTGAAATAAGGTACCAGGCATTATGTTCGTCATAGGTACGTGAAGCGTGACATTATCATGATAAGTTTGGTCCAGTATACGGGATACAATTAGCTAAGTCCTGTTAAGAACGACACATATTGAACTCCTTGGGAGGGAAAAGAGAAGGTGAGAAAAAGAGAAGAAAAAACAGATATCTATGTTACAATCGCTGCTTCGCTTTTCTTCCCATGAGAACAACAACCTCACGAAACACGAGACAAAAAACTCCGTCAACGTAGCAGTTTACACCATGGCCTCTCGCTTACTTGGAGGCTAGGATATCACCAATGTCTTCCAAGGATTCGTTGATGGCGGTGGAGGTGGAAGTGGCGTCATTATTGACGGAGGTGTCAATGTACGGCAGCAGGGTCTTTAGGTAACCGACCGTGTCGGTGGAGGTCAGTTCGAGATAGAGCTTAATGACGGTGCCGTGGAAGGTGCCGAGGACGCCACCGGCCTTTGCGTCGGTGAGCAGCTGCTCGCCAGCCTGCAAGGCGGAGAGGAGCCCCTTGAGCTTGTCGACGATGGATGCCGACCCGTCAGGGCTGAAGGGCCCGATGATGTTCTTGGAGTTGAGGCGGGCCGTCTGGGTGATGGCCTGATACTCGATGGCCCTGGAAAGGGCGGCGTCGAGGGCGGTGCCGGTGACGCCGGTCTTGCCGCCGGCAATGGCGTCCTGGACGGCTTTGTTGAAGCCCCCGAGGGCGGTCTCGAGGTTCGTCATGTCCCTGGTCACGTCCTCGGCGGTGGTCGGCTGCGAGGGGAGGACGCCGACGGGGAGGAACACGGGCGCGGCCAGGGCTGTTGTGCAAGCGGTGGCGATGAGGCCGGTGACGATGGTGGAGAAGCGCATCTTTGGTGGTTTCCTTGCGTAGAGAGGATCGAGACTTTGGTCACTCTAATGAGGGGGCGGGGGTATGGTATGTTCGACCTGAAGATGCTCAAGCGAACTCTTGTTGGGGGCCAAAGCTGTTATCTGTGTCCAGCTGCGAGTGATATCAGAAGATCGTTGGTGTGGCGTCTGAGTCTTCCTAACAGAAAAGGAAGGCCGAGCAGGTTATATATCGCTTTGGACCAAGGTATCTGTCCTCTAGTCTAGCCTCCACCGTCTCTCCCCCTACACTTCCAACCCTCTTCTTCTCCCCGAGATCTCCTTGGATCGTCGTGTCGTTGACGAAGTTGGCGCCGCCCAGCACGGAACCGCATCCGATACCCTCTCGCCTCCTTTTCCAAATGTCTCACCTGCACCACCCTCTCAGGTTTGAGGTCCACCGACCCTTTCCAATCCGAGCTCCGTCCGACTTGCCGAGAAAGCCAAAACAGAACTAGGACGATCGTGACTACGGCTTGAAGGGGTGGTGATTGGCCTTTTCGTGACGGAGGAGGTGGCCGGTTCCGGGGTCGCCGCATTCGGTCGGTCGTCAAAGAACATTGCTTATTCTGCGGAGCCCCTCCTCCCCACTCTCCGTTCGACGGCGTCCACTCGTGATAACCTCCCAGCTGGTCAAGCCACCCCTCCCTAAGCAGATAGAGATAGGGACGCCTTGGAGCTGCAGGCGCGGAGGGTCGAGTTGGGCGAGCACAAACCCGGACATTCAGCTTTACGCCATTTGGGGCATAGATTGGTCGGCAAGGAGGCCGTTCGGACGCAATGGCTGAGGAATTTCTGCTCGTCACTTCCATCGGCGTCGCAATCCCCTCCCTTTTGCGTCTTGCGTAATACGTCCGATTCTGGTCCAGACCACCTGCGATCCGACGTGGCAGATGGAAGGGGGAGGCTGGGTGTTCGAGGCGGCGACGGCCCCTGCTCGCTCGTAGGGTGGACAATGCCGTTGTGAAGTGTCACAGCCCTGATCGTACGAGGGCATTCAGACGTGCGTTGTCATCTAGCCGTATTGTCTGCCCGTGGTGTTCCGGTCGTCAACAGTCTTTGTCTGCCTTGTTGCTCCCGACGTTTGTTTGGCGCCGCCATGAACCCATTTTTGGATATACCAGCTGGATACTCCTTTGTATCGCCCGGTGTGTCGACCGAGTGGGTGATGGATATGAGGAAATCGGACGGCGACACAAACACAGGTCACGTGAAACTCGGGATGGCGATCAAGGTAGTGATGATAGCATGAGACGAGAATGGCAGACGGGGGACGGAGGGGATTCCAACGCCCGCTGGCCTAGTTCCTCAGTCAGGCCTCTTGCGTCTCCTGGATGCCTGTCTTTCTCGGGCCGAGAGTCGGGGTCGGCTGGAGGCATTCCTGACCACCTGGGACTAGTTTCTGCCACACTTATGACAAATATAATCAACGTATGCGGACCCCCTCTGCAGGGGTCCGAAGTTATCTGTGCCCTTCGGATGTTGCCGGCCATTGTCTCGAGGCCCTACCAGCGGGATGATGACGGTTTCTTTCAGTAGGGTTTTCTTTTTCTTTTTTGTTTCTACCTCCTTTGAGACGGGCCGAGCTTTCTGATGCAACCAGGCGAGCGAATATCTACAGAGCGTAAATCTCCAACCATGCCGTGACTCATCGGCATCTCGAAAGATGTGGTTCGCGGACCTGCGTCACGTTCGGTGCTGTTCATTCCTCTTCTTGTCTTCAGGTGGAGGGAACCTCCCGCATGGCAATATAGAAGACATGGCGCGGATCTCGCAGAGTAGTTCGGGACAGAGAGGTCCGAACATGAGGCGGCCGAGAGGAGAAAAAAGCCAACAGAGTGGAACGCTGCTGGTGGCTTGATATGCGCCTCCAGATGCCGGAAGGTTGTCCCCCACAAGACGGGGGTTCGTGTAACTTGAACGCTAGCTGCCCTTTTCATTCCTTGGTAAATGGCGGGCGGCGCAAGATATGCTCGGGTGTTTCCCATGTCTTACTTTCCAAGAAACAAGAAGATGGACCCCGTGTGCACATCCCCAAGCTTCTTTTTCTCGGGCTGTACGACGTTTGTTCATGGCGCGCCGGGTGCCCCCTCGCACCGATCCATGTAATCTGATCTGTGTGTGAGTGAGTGTGTGTATGTAACAGAAACCGAGATGAAAACAGCTTGTGGGGAGCCGCATCTTGCTAGACCCGCGAGTTCGTTCGCACGTACCAAAGGCTAACGACGGTCCAGACCACGCACGTTGGACTATTTGCTGTGGTGGCTGTGAGGTGTTCAGGCCGTCGACCGCATCGGTCAGACATGCTCGTTGCAAGAGATATCAGACTTGCGATTCGAGGTCCCCCGTTCGCGGTCTTGGCGGAGTCCGAAATGCTGCTCCGCCGCCCTTTGCTTTGCGATTCGACGGGCAAAGTCTACTTTGGTTCACGGAAGTCGATGACAACGATACCGTTCGTTTGTTTCTGGGTGCCGATGTTCTCCGGGGATTCGACGCCCAGATGGCGGGCTTGGTCGCGGCGAGACTTGATAGCCGTGGGCTTTTGACGGCGGAAATCGACCGACTTCTGGCGACAGCGCTTGATCTTGCTGATGGCCCGGGCTTCGCCTCCGTAGATGGCGAGAGCTCGGAAAGCGAGACCGGAGCTGCTTTTTCTTCCATCATCGCGTTACCACAGGCATCCGCCAAGGTATCATTCTGGACCATTGAGATCAGACCAATGACGGATTTCGAGACCACGTTGGTTGTGACATCCACAAGTTCAGCCAAACGTCATGACTTATCCCAGGGCGTACAACGCATGGCGTACCGGAATGAGCGAACCCTGTTGTCAAGAAGCTTTCAACTCTGTGACTGGGGACTATCATTGCGAACATCAAGGGTTATGTCAAGGATGAATCCCCCAATACCGCCAGGCGCTGAAACATTTCCGACATTGGAACAACAGATCCAAAGAGAAAATAGGGGAAAGAGGGGAAAGAGGGAAAAGAGGGAAAAGGGGGAAAAGAGGGATGCGCGCTCAGAAGACAGGAGACCTCTTGACGGCGTTCACGCGCGGTGACCCCCAAGGAATCCAACTACCTGCGAAGACTTATAACGGACTTGACTCCGTCATCATAAGCGAGAAGGATCAGATCGATGTCCGTTGCCAAACCCGAACGACGCGGAACCCACTTGCGTCGATTCATGGACTGAGCTCTGTTTGTACCGGGAGCCACGTCCACAAGGACAGGACTGGAGCCAATTTCGTGCCTATCGTAGGCCAACAGGGCAACGCGCTGACTCTTCGAAGGCTTTGCAGTACTCGAAGTCGGTCGAGGGGTTTTGTTCGCGAGACTGGAGGATGATATAAAACCGCCCTTTTTGGTCGCGGTTGAGCCGGCCGGCGGTGGTGAAGAAACGAGAAACATCTGGAGATAGAGAGAGAGAGAGAGAGAGCAAAGAAAAAGGCAAAAAAAGAAAAAAGAAAGGAAAGATGAGCAGTTCCATCATCGCTGGCACGTCAGCCACGCCCCCGTAGCTGCTCGACATTATTCAACAGTACCACCATCGCCGGTTGTCGCTATCGTTCTGGCGCCCACCTACTACACCGTTATCAAGGCCGTTCGCGCCACGGTTGAAGTGAAGTCTAACTTGGCAGTTGCTGCTCTGCGACATCGGGTATTCTGTACTGTATCAAGAGGTTGGGATGTGGCATTGAATCATGTATAATACCTAGAATAGAAGGGGGTTATACTAGAAATGCCTCGACGAGGCTGCATGCAGCATGATGGAGAAAACACTTGCTCGAGTAGGCTAGGGATGATATGCTAGGAGAGAAGCCAAATGATCACCCTGAACAGGCCGTTGTTATTTGTTCGCCGACTGGCAGCTGCACGCTTGAGATGGAATGATATATCTTCCTCGCATGGGGTGGGCAGTTTAGCCAGCAGCCGAGGACGATTTTTGGTCTGGCCTTTGGGCGTGGAAACTTCTTATTATCCGGTAGCACGCAGATAATTATAAGTGTCGAATTCTTCGGCCTCAGCCCCCCAGGCCCAACTTGTTACAACTGGAAATGCCATTGCATTCTTCGTTTCTGCCAAGGAGATCTGCCTCGGTTCCCTTGATCTCGTTTCCGAGGGTGCGGTCGATGGAAGCATGCCCGGGCAGAGGAAAAGACGGTAGAGGTAGTGATGGTCAGTTAAGAAGCGTTATTTCCTATCTGTAGACAGAAGACGCATGCTGCGAGTCCGTGAGAGTTGCAGTTGTGAAAATAGGCACCCGCAAAGGAACGGTTTGACCGCTGCTAATAGTTAGCCCAAGTGACTTTGTTACCGTTTGCCTGGTAACGTTGACACGTACCTGGGTTATTATGGGTGTTGTTAGCACTGGGCATAAACCGCGGCAGCCAACGCTTGACCCTCACGTCGGTTGCTGAGACGTCGAGGCAAGGCGGCGACCGACCAATGGAGCGGAGAGGACAAACAGGGAGCCCGGTGCTCGTTGGCGTCCTTGGCTGACGACAACGAGGGTTGAGGGATTCGGACAACGGGAGGTATTGGTGGGGTTATGTGGTGATGTGTATATGGGACGAGCGCCCAACGGCCGAGGGACAAGAGAGGTAAACGACCCCATGTGAACAGCCAGTTGGGCGCGAGGTAAGGAATGGTTTATGCACGCAATCTATCCATTAACGGGGCACTCGTCCATTCGGTTTGGGGTCCGGTCTTACCCTGGATCAATAAGTATACATTGGTTGTTTATGTATGCCCGTGTGTTCCGCGCATGTCAATCGGACATGGAGACTCTCGTGGCACGCTGATGAGTTCGATAGCACCTGGTGTATACATCTCCGTCGTTTCTCTTGATTCTGTCTCATTCCGCTCGTCTCGTCAACCCCGGCAGACCTTGTAGTCCGCTTTGTTATCCATAACCAAGACTGAAGATACAGAGTCCCTACGAAAGCCTTACATCAGTCACTTCCCATCAGCTGTGTGGTTGGCTGGCCGAATGAAGATGGCATCTGAGAACCTGGATGGCCCGGCCCGCTCTTCGCGCCTGGGCGAAACGGGACGGACGGGGGCCCCGTCGAACCACTGAACTGGGCCGTTGGGATGGGTGTGTTGGAGTGAAGCGGGGAGCTCTCCAGATATCCCTGGCTGATAGATCGCTAAGAAGCTGGGCACTTTTTGTGTATGCCAAGTTGGGAGGAAGGAAAAGAGGGAGAGTGAGCACCGCCTGTCATGTCTCTGAGTGGACTTGCTTACCGTCTTGGCGACTCGGGCTGGCAAACGGGCCAAGCAACCACACAATACACACACACATACTCATGCACAATGAACGGATCAATCAGCCTTTTTTGACGACTTGTTTCCCCTTGCCAAGACGTGCGAAGAGGAGACCCTCGTGTGCCTCCCGTTACCCTTGGCAGTTGGCTCGGGCGAGTTGCGTGTCTTGGACTGGGGGAAAAAGCACCAAACACGCATATAAATCCCACTTCACCTCGACCACCAGCTTTGATGTGATTGTTTCGCAAGGCCTTTCACGTCGCAGAACGCATTCATTCGTTGGTATTCGTCGTCTGCTTCTGCCATTCGCCTGAAGTAACCCCGGAATTCCTCCCCTCACTTTCCACAAAACACCATCACTGTCGCCATGAAGACGTCTCAGATCCTCGCCGCCTTCTGCTTCGCCGCCCTGTCCATGGCTCAGAGCGAAAGCCTGGCGCCCTCCCCCACCGAATCTTGGGGCTGCGAACCGCATGGTGATCATTGGGTTAGTTGGATCCGTCGTTTCGATATGCCGTTGAGCCCTGTTGCAGAGATGCTCTAACAGACTTGAAAGCACTGCGAGGGTGCTCGCTCGACCGTCACGATAAAAAGTACCTCCATATCCACCAGCAGGTCCCTATTTATTCCCAGTGCCAGCGGCACCGTCACGAAAGACCACGACCACGACCACGATGACGATGACGATGACCACTCCTCGGGCACAGGCAGCTACACTCTGGCCCCCTCTCCCACCGAGTCTTTTGGCTGCGAGGCACACAATGACCACGTGAGACGTTTTCCCTCTTCTTGACACTGCGGACTGATGCTAACCTCTGGGAATAGTGGCACTGCGAGGGCCCGGTCACCGCCGCCAGCAGATCGGCCACCACCACCATCGAGGCGACCCTTACCCCTTCGGCTACCACCGACGGCGCCGCCACCACCGCCACCGGCGAGGGCGCTGATGCTACCGCGACTGCGCTCCCGGCCGGTGCGGCTCGCGCTGGCTTCGGCGCTGCCGCAGTCGCCGCCGCCGTCGCTTTCATAGCTTTCTGAGCGGGCCGGATGTGGAGGGGTTGAAGTTGCGTTGGACGAAGAGCATCGTGTACCTTGCGTAGGTGGGGGGAACAAAGAAAACATCACGACGATGAGGAGTCTGATTCATGAACATAACCTGGGAGGGGGCTTTTGGCATGGCAAACGGGGATATCGTTAAAAAAAGGGGGATACACGCTTGAGATTTTGTTGCTCTCCCATGGCATCTCCCTCTTTTTCTTTTTTTCCCGTTCATCTCCATTCTTCGGAGGAAGATTAGTAATAATTGTTGAATAGGAAATGTAATTAAAATGCATTAAACAAACCAAAGGCTTGTTAACAGACTGATCTTTTGTCATTCAGACATGGCCCACCGATATTTTCGACCCAGCGTAAGGCGGCGGTACATTTGCTTTACGCCGACCACTGATTTGTTTATTGTTTCCATGCACGATGGCTTCCTTTGCTACAACCATGTCGTCTCATGTTCGTCCAATGCTTTACGCAACAGCCCCTGACACATGCAAACTAAACCACGGCACGGACTCAGTAACGGACCCAACAGGATGGTTAAGCTCTGGAAGGCGGGAAGGCAACAGCAGATGTAGCCATGCGCGGACGGATATCTAGTCGTTGTCAAACGGTATGTGATGTAGCCGGGTAACGCGCGCCGGTGATCTTTTGCAGGCGTACCAACCTCCAGGGTTCTACGGGGTATCAATGCGCTTTCACCGGGTGTGCGGTTGATGGTCGCCGCAAGGCGAGCATGAGGGAGAACCTCTAGGGAGACGGCGGGATGGCGAGGGGACGACCGTCCCTCCAAAACAACCCATGCACAACCCACCACTCAAGCATCACATTCGTTCCGTTGCGCGGAGGAGAGAAAATGCCTCACTCTTCCCGACTCCCATTCGACTAGCGCTAAGTCGGGAACAGGCCAAGGGTGTCACGCAGAGGCGGGGGGTAAAGCTGACAGACGAAAGGGGCCGGCGTCGGGGTTGGAGACTCGTACGAGGTCGTCGGGGATCTGCTGGAGACAGTCGACTCGGTAGATTCGCTGGCCGTCTTACGCATTTGGTTCGGGTCGAACAAGAAGCCGAGGATGGAGGATGCTGGAACTGTTGCTTCGACATGTCGATGTGGTCGACGATGGTTGACTGCTGCACACTTTATAGAGGCTTGGCGTGCAGCGGTCGCCACATGTGAGCCATCAAGGTTGGCGGGGTCAAGGCAGAGGATGTCGTTCGTCGGCTAGACGAGTGAGAGACATGGGCTGAGACGAGAGACATAGAGAGGGAGAGGGAGAAGTACGGATAGAGACGGAGAGAAGAGACAGAGACCACATCATGTGAGAGGGTGTGGTGAGAGTGAGAGTGAGAGTGAGGATGAAAATGGGGGTGAGTGAGAGTGAGACATGCGGAAGACGAGGCCATCAAGGTTCTTATTTCAAGGTGTAAGTGGAGGCAGTACGTACCGCACCGCGATCCAAAGAGGCATGTGGGTCCATATCTTCCTTGTACTCTGTACACATACAGATACCGGGACATGTACATCTTGGCTTCGTGCCTTCCATGTATGTAGTCATCCTACCTACCTAGGTACCTAGTGATCGAGTTCGGCAGGAGACAACGACTTCCTTCCCTCCTCCCCTGCTGGTGGCCATCCGGGTGCTCAGCCTTGGCGACGGGTCTTTCAGCCTTGGCAGATCGTTGGTGTCGTATTACGCTTCTCGCTCTTCCGCCTCTAGCTTCATTCTCTTCTCTACGTGCAGTTGAGACAAACAAACAGACAGACATACAGCCACGATTCTGATGTTTCCCGCGTTTCCCACACGACCAACGGCCATCATCCCTTGCTACGCCGTTGCACCTGACCCTCCTCGCTTCCCTGTTTCCTCTTCCTGTCAACAACCAGGCTGTGCCGTGTCGATTATCGGATAAAGGAATGGAACGACCAAGGCCAGCCACCACGGCCTAATTCCAAGATTATCGGAGCCAAGCCGCTGCGATGGAGACGATAGAAGAACCCTAGCAAGCAGGGCTCGGAGACACTTCCGCGTTGCGTAAGGGAAGAAGGAGGAAGAAGGAAAGAAAAGCACGAGTGACGGAGGCAGAGGCAAGGGTATTATCGACCTCCCAGCGCCATCTATCTTCTCAGAGGTACACGGAGGGAGAGAGAAAAGTGAGATACATCCATCTGATAATTCGCTCCAACGGTTCCCCATCCGCCGCACCTGATCGTCGCCCTGTTTCGCCGAACCCGTCGACTGTTGTTCCTCAAACTCCAACTTCCCTTCTTTCAAGCATTTACCCTTGTCCTTCCTATCATCTTATTATTCCCTCTTGTCAACTTCTCCCGCTGCACTATTCCCCCGCCCTCCACCCTCGGGTGGGTCTCTCTCTCCGTTAAAGTCGGCCAGCTCGGCGTTTTTCCCCGACGCCCGGCTCGCCTCTTCTCAAGGTGCTCACGTCCACCACCTATGCGAGTCGTTCCAACTTCGCCCAGCCGCCTTTACTCCGAACTCTCTCCCATAAAACAGCCGTCCGATCACCATTCAGTAAGCGGCTTCGAGGAATTGCAGCAGCAGAATCTTGTCCTGAACGACCCGCGGCGCAAACCTGCCCCTGTCAGCTTCATCTCGGCACAGACTGAGACAAGGTCCAAATTCGCTTCCCGTCAACCGCACTCCCGGCGGCCCTGCCGAGACCATACCTCGCAATGGCCAGGTTCACGGCCGCTACCGCCTTCGCGGCTCTTCTGAGTACCGCGTCCGGCTCCATTGTCGCACGACAGACGGCCGCCAGCACCACTGCCGCTGCAGTGGCCGATCCTACAGTCATCTCAGAGTGCTCCGTGTCCTCGTCTACCCAGTGAGTAGCGGCCTGGCTGGGAAGCCGTCGTTGTCCTGCACATACGGGCGTTATATATTGTCATTCAGCTGCTTACACGCAATACAGGGTTTGCAAGGCGGGAACCACCGAGTTCAGGATCGTTTCTACTCCTACCGGCGCGCTGCCCAGCTCCTACACGGGATGCCACAAGCATGCCACCGACCTGTAAGTTCCAGCTCCTGCCATAGTGTTGGCTGTCACCTCGCTCATTATTTTACTTCAGGTACTGCTTCTATGACGATGGAGAGGTGCAAGTTGAGCCTGCCAGCGCTGCAGCGTCTACAGCCGCCTCGACAACTGCTGCCGCTGCCGTCACCGGCGCTCCCACCGCCGTCTCCGACTGCCATCTCCACGGAGTCACTGTGTAAGTCCACTTTTGCCGTGCGACCCCGAGAGCCGCGACTGACAGACCCGTCTCAGGTTCTGTATGTGGGGTGCTTCAGAGTACCAAGTCATAACCACACCAACCAACACCGCCGCCTCCGCTATCCCGACCGCCTTCACCGACTGCCACGCTCACGGCGCAGATACGTTCTGCATCGCCCCCAACGGCGACGACGTCGAGATTGTGGCCGAGGGCGCCGAGTCTTCGCACGGCGACCACGGAACCGAAGGCGAGGAGCCCCATGGCGAGAATTGCCACTTCCACGCCGGTGTCGAGCACTGCGTCGGCGCGGGCGAGAGCGAGAGCGCCGGTAGCGGCACGCGCAACTGCGCAAAGGTCGACCGCGAGTACAACATCCCGCTGCGCATCGGCCTCATCTTCGTCATTCTTGTTACCAGCGCGTTTGGCGTCTACTTCCCCATCTTCATGATCAAATGGATGCCCACCAAGACGCACACCGCCTTCCTCATCCTCAAGCAGTTCGGCACCGGAATCATCATCTCCACCGCCTTCATACACCTGTACACCCACGCCCAGCTCATGTTTGGCAACGAATGCCTGGGCGCCCTCGGATACGAGGGCACGACGTCGGCCATCGTCATGGCGGGCATCTTCTTGTCCTTTCTGGTCGAGTACGTTGGCAAGCGCATCGTCATGGAGAAAATGGCCAGCAACCCTAGCACCGTGAGCCGCTTCTCTCCCGAGACCGTGACCGTCCTGGTCCTCGAGTGCGGCATCATCTTCCACTCCATCCGTACGTCGCCTCCTGCATGTGGCTTTTCTTCTTTTTGTAGCGTTGCACGCTGACAAACACATTTTTCAGTGATCGGAATCACCCTCGTTGTCGCCGGCGACACCTTCTTCCTCACCCTCTTCGTCGTCATCCTCTTCCACCAGATGTTCGAGGGCATCGCCCTGGGAACCCGCATCGCCCAGCTAGGCCGGCTGCCTCTGGCCGACAAGGCCGCGAGCCCAACGACCGTCGATGTCGAGCAGAGGTCGTCGGCCCCAGACAGCCTCAACTCCCTCAAGGCGCCCGACTTCTCCCTCGTCAAGAAGATCCTCATCGCCACGCCCTTCGCCCTCGTCACCCCCATTGGCATGGCCATCGGCATCGGCGTTCTGCAGCACTTCAACGGGAACGACCGCGACACGATCCTCGCCATAGGGACCCTCGACGCCCTGTCCGCCGGCATCCTCGTCTGGGTTGGCGTTGTCGAGATGTGGGCTGAGGACTGGATGCATAATGACGCAGAACTCCTCCGCACCGGGCCGGTCGTCACGTTGCTCGCCGGTCTCGGTCTCGTCGCCGGCATGGTCATCATGAGCGTGCTGGGAAAGTGGGCCTAGAGTCTAGTTTTTTTGCGAGGTTCGCAAGGGACCAAACGGACAAGATGAAGTTGGAGAGCTGATAATGAACGATGGCGCTGTGGTGCGTGCATGCCGCGGCGCTCGTATAATGCGGATATGGCAAAAGGTTTAAAATGAGCGGGTCGGTTACATGTACTAGATAGATACCATGCCTCCTACTACACGAGTGTAATGATACATTGCTTCTTCACAGCATTTCTTCTTAATAGCCCGAGTGCTCCTCCAGCAGTAAACTCGTGAATGTAGGCCTCGCCAACAAGCATGTGGTTCCCCTCGTCGTTGTCGCCATCGTTGTCAAGTTTGCTGCCTGAGAGCGTTGAACTGCTTGCCACACAGTCATCTTCGTCCATGTAGAAAGGGTAGATGACGGGGATCCGCTCCCATTCCCAGCCAGACGCCAGATCGGCAGCAGACCGCACTGCAGAAAAGCAGGATGTCGTATTCGGGCAGCCGGGGCTTATCCATGGGCTCCAATACCGTCGCCGTATGGGTCTCTGATATATAATCTGCAAATTGCAGATGGGGGGGTTAGCTTGGTCTGGAGACACCGGATAAAGATGGAGAAAGAGGCCGTACAAATCCTCAATAACATTGTAGAAGTCGCTCCGTAGAGGTCCTCGAACAGACCTCATGTCGTGGTTTCTGATGGATGTGGCACAATTCGTCTAATTGGCTTTTTCCCTATGTCTATGAGGCATTCGTCCAAGGTTCAGGTCCAGAAAGACACTTCCAGCAAGAATTGGCAGGGATACCAAAGCCCTTTCCCCCATTCTTCTCCCAGACTCTCTCTTGGAAGACGAATGGCAGGCAATGATTCATTGGTGACAGATTCCAACCAATCCGTGTTGAATCTTACCCAGGTACGCGTACAAGGCGGTGCTGTTCTTGCATCTTACAAGGTCAGTCGTATCATATGGGTATATATCGAGGAAGCTAGCTCACTTGTGTCAAGGTTTCATGCATACCTATGGGGACCAAAGTGTCATCGGAAGTAACAAACTGAAGCCGCTACCAGCTCTTTTGCATCTTTCACGATTACATGAAGGTGTAGCAAGTCTTAGTAGTAGTAGTGTTTGTTTGCTTGTTCGTTGACGAGTGTGTGATGTGCTGCTTGATATCCTTGCTTGGGTACGTACCTCCCTTCCAGACGGTGCGGGTGCGGTGGGTCACCCTCCACGTGGCTGCCCCATCTGTAGGAGGGTGGAGGGTACCTAGGTATTGAGGGTAGGAGCTAATAGTGGTGGTCCTTCTCATACCTCCCAAAGTATGTACCTGCAGGGGCAGGTACGTAGTCAACCAACAGCTTCCTTGAAGGTTCTTGCTTGCCTGGGTAGGTGCCTCCTCCTACAGCGACTTCCCCGGGATTCTCAGTCACCGTCTGTCTCTCTTCCCTCGTCTAATCGTCAGATGAGAACCGACTTTTCTCTTCCTCGGTCACAGTCCGAACTGTCTTCTTCCTCATCCCATCACCGAGAGCTGCTTTCTTTTCTTCTTTCCTCCCTCAGTCACACTCACTCTCTGCGCCTTGATCGCATAACCGCACGAGTCCGTCCCAACACCAGACGACACTCCATCCAACATTACTATGTCCACGATGTCATCCCATCCCAATTCCAAGGCAACGCCGGAACCAGCGACCAAGCTCTGGCCGCCGAAATCGTCCTTGGCGAGTTCCACACTGACAACGTACGAGAGAAACACCACCCCACGGCATATGACATGTCTATGCTGCAAGCCTTTCTGAGCTGCTCGAAGCATCCAGGATAGTCCGATTATTTGGCTGGATACGATGCCAAGAGGGGTCTGATTCCCCAAATGTACGATGCGTTGGTCGCCCTGGATGTCCAAGTCACAAGCTGGGCCCAAGCCTCTCTCTGGACAGAAATTTGGAACACCCCGGCGAGTAACGTAGAGAATCTGCTGCTTAGAAAGTTGCGCTATCCCGATGAATCGTTCGAAACACACGGTTCGCTGGTAGTCATCAACGGCAGCTTTCCGCCACTCCTAAAGATTTGTAATGCCCCTTGCTCCTCCTCCGACGATTCTTTCTTAAACACTACGCTCGTACCCTATCATTCGTGGGAAAGATATTCTCCTAGCTTGGATCCATTCAATGCTGTCATTCTGTTCATTCATCGAGTATCGCGGCCCAGCAACCCCTCCTCTAGTCTACAATGCCGACTTCCATCCGCCTTCGGCCTCGAAAATTTCACCAACCGCCTTGGACACGGTCAAAAGGTGGCGGTCATGGTATCGGGGCGCCACCAGCGAGACGCCCACCGGCATCCCGTTCGGGCCCTTGAAGCCCGGAATGTTGACGACGGGAACGTGAAGCGCCTGGGAAGCTTGTCAGCGACATGTCGAGACGAGCAGTTTGCAAGAAGTCGACCTACCGTCCAGAGTCCATTGAAGGCCGCGCTGCCGGTGCTGGCGGTGCCCACGGGCGCCTCGTCGACGACGCTCGGCACCAGCACGGCGTCGTACTTGCCCAGCATCTTGTCCACCTTTGGTCGCGCCATGGCAATGTTGTCGAACGCCTCCAGCTGCGCCGCCCTGGAGATCTTGTTCGTGTTGTCGACGTGGGAAACCAAAAACTCGTCGAGCAGGTCCTTGGCCACGCGATATTCCGGAAGGAAAGTCGGGCGTCCGTCGCTGTGCAGCACCGTACCGTGCCATGCGGGAAGGTCCTGGAGTTCCGGCGCGAACTCGACCTCCTCGACATCGGCCCCGTGCTTCCTGAGAAGCTCCGTCGCCTTCGCGATGGCCGACTGCGTCCCGGGGCCCGCCTGCGGCCACACCATGGTCTTGATAAGCGCGAATTTGGCGCCTTTGACGGAGAATTCGGGCTTGGGAGCCTCGTCGTCCTGCAGGTCGAACACATCAGCCATCAGCTGCAGGTCCTCGACGCTACGGGCAAAGAAGCCCAGCGTATCCAGGATGAGCGAGTAGATCTTTTGGCCCTCCCTGCTGATGGAGTTCCACGTCGGCTTCAACGCATAGATGCCGTTGAAAGACCCGGGCCGGATCGTGCTCCCACCCGTCTGCGTGCCCAAAGCGATCGGGGCCTGGAAGTCTCCGACGGCCGCGCCCGAGCCCGAGGATGAACCGCCAGGCGTCCGGCTCGTGTCGTGCGGGTTGACCGTCTTCGGGCCTCGAACGGTCCCAGCAAACTCGGTGGTTGTCGTCTTGCCTGTCGAGCGTTAGAGCCCTCTTCCGCTCTCGTCTGTCTTCTCAGCACCAAACATACCAAGGAACAAGGCGCCGGCTTGTCGCAACACGATGATGGATCCGGCGTCGACCTTTGGCGCGTCCCCGGCGTATATCGGCGAGCCGTGCTGGGTGGGCATATCTGTGACGACGTGAGTGGCGTGCCGGGTGCATCGCGAAGAGTCGCCCACTGACCCTTGGTGTAGATGATGTCCTTGACAGCAACGGCAACGCCGTGCAGAGGGCCGCGCTTCTCGGGTGGTATCGCATCGAGCTCTTTTGCCCGCGCGATGACCTGGTCAGGGTTGATGTACTCCCACGCCTTCACAACGGGGTCCCTCTGTTCGATACGCGAAAGAAGCGAGCGCGCGTATTCCTCGACGGTCAGGTCCCCGGCTCGAATCTTGGCCGACGCCTCTGTGGCTGACAATCTGTATGGTTCCGTCGACATTGTGAACGGACTGACCGATAATAGACTCCTGGAGCTATGCGATTTTTTATTTATCTTCTTTTCCCTTTTTTTTCTTTTCTCGCCGTTGAACAACAGTTTAAAATGACGAGACAAAACTGCGACTTCGGTCTGTGATGGCTAAATAGAATCGACCAGGGACCTGGGGTGAGGTGTTGGAGATGGATGAATGCAGAGTCCGAAACCCCAACATGAATCCGGCAAAAGAACCCGGCCCGGAAGACACACGCGCACACACACACACGCACGCACGAATGCAACAACGCGAGGACATCTGCCACTCTCCAACTGTTCAGGAGAGGGTCGACGGATATCATGGAGGGGGAGGGGGCACACGACTCGGCCACTCGAAAAGGCGATGCCGACGCCTCCAACGGGGGGGTCATTGGAGCTACTCCAACAAACCCCGCAGACCGTTATCGTCCGTCCCTCCGACCCACCGGCTGGCTCGTCGTCTTTCCCCCGCAGTCGACCACCCCTTGGCCTCAGAGGCGGCCATTACGAACATGTCGGGAGCTTTGCGCCGAACTAACTGAGCCCCCCCTTCTTTGTGCAGATCAAGACTGCCGGCTTCTAGGGGGATGATAAGCCGGAAGGGGGGCACTGAATTACGCAACGGGGAGTCACTGCCTCGCCTTGCCTTAGCTGGGAGGTTTAGTTGCGGGACTCTATGATACTGTGTTTCTGTCTAGAAACCTTCCATTGTGCCGAGTATTGAGTATTGCGCATGACACCTTTTCTATGGTTTTCTAGCCATGCGGGACTATCATTATGTAGTCTATGCGACCTTCAGAGACGACTCTACTGCATTGTGGCCACGGAGGCTCTGAAAGGCAGCGAGCGACGCGAGCTAGCTGAACTTGAATGAACATAGAGATATGGGGAATATTCACAACACATTCATTATTACGGATTTCAGTTTCTCATCTTGGTACAATCAACAAATTTACTCGGCCACAGCACGCTTCAAGACGGAGCCACACTCTCTCAACTCTCACCGCGCCTCTCACGCTTCCGCCTTCTGCCCTTTCTCCCCCATATGCAACTCTTCCCCGCCCGTGACCCGCGGGGACGGCGGTGCATAGATCTCTTCTTCTCTCTCGCCCTCGAAGAAGCCATCTCGTCCCTCTTTTGCCAGCCACTCGTACTCCATCGGCATGCTCTCGAACCCCGGCGGGTAGACCTTGGTCTTGAATGTATGAATGAGGACTGTGTATATGATGGCCGACGAGCAGAAGGTCAATACCCAGCCCATCATGTACATGTATTTGGCGGGCTGAGAAACGATCTGCGGCTGGTACTCTCCGACGAGACCGGGCAAGCCCATGACTGTGCCGCCAATCCAGGCAAACACGCCAGCCCAGTTGATGCCGGACTTGAACCAGTACAGGCCGTCCTTGGAGCCGTTGTACAACGAAGGCACGTGGATGTTGCCTTTGCGAGCAAAGGCGTAATCGAATATGATGATCTGTAAGACAAGTCAGTGCAAGCCCCGCGGCATCGACGGGATGAGCTTCCTTACCGCGCAGAGAGGGGCCATGAAGATGTTGTAACTGCCCAGGAACGACAAGAAGGCGGCGGCGTTGGCGATCAGCTTCCACGGCAGCACCGCGATGCCGAGGATAGCGCACACGATTTGCCCTCGGCGGATAGTCAGGTACTTGGGGAACAGGCCAGTCATGTCGGCGCCGAAGGGGATCGAGTTGGCGCCAAAGTTGACCGCCAGCACGCTGAGGATGAAGCAGAGGGCCACGAAGAAGACGCCGGCGCGGGCGGCAGGGGTCCAGTAGTGATCGAGGATGGCGTTTAGCATGTCCCACAGGTTCCAGTAAGCAACACCCCAGGCCCCCTGCAGAGAGGTCGTCGAGGCCAGCCCGAGGAAGAAGACGAGGATCTGGGCGAAGGAGACGGACGCCCCCTGGAGCCAGCCGGCATCCCGGGGCTTCTTGCAGTACCGCGCGAGGTCGGGCTGGTTAACAAGCATGGGCGACAGGGACCCCATGATGACGTTGATGCCGCCCATTATCGCCCATCCGGTCGGCGTCGTCGAGGCGGCCTCCGCCCCGGCCTCAGAGGCCGCGCTGAGGTTCGAGACGCCGGTGCCGTACGCCATGCACCACCCAAACAGGCCGAAGCAGGCGAACGGCATGACGAAACCCTTGACGGTGAAAAGGTAGTGGATATGGGTGGGGTGCACCCAGGTCTGGTGAAGGCGTGAGCTTTCGGGCTGCTTCGGGGAACGGGCATGTGCTTACAAACGGGAACTCGATCAGCCAAAGGAGGAAGAAAGCCAACAGCTGCTTCGATGTCACGTCGGCGCCGGCGGGAAGCGCGTTGGCCCAGTGGTTCCAGCTGTTTCCAAAGACGCAGCGGAAGCACACGGACAGTAAGTTTGCGCCGTAGAAGGTCTGGATCCCATACCAGATGATGCAAACGACCGCCCGGATGAAGACGAAGAAGTATGAGCCGTACATCCCCATCACCGACCGCGCCAGAACCGGACTAGGAACGAAGGTGTTAGCAACGGTATCGACCGTGTTCAGTTTGTCAAACAAGGGTTCGACCTACTATCCGACGTGGTACATGGCACCAGGCCTCGCCATCAAAGTCACGACGACGGCAGAGATGAGCGTGCCGAGCACGCACGACACGAGAGCTTGTTGCCAGGTCTACTACCGCTGTCAGCAGTCAAGACTTTTGGGGGGTGGCATGACGACGACGCCGAAGAATCGTACGTACCAAACCAACTGCAATCAACGAGGATGCGACGTTCCACCCAGTCGTCCCAAACATGTTGGAAAACCAGTACATGGGCAGATTGTACCACGTCCAGGTTCTCTGCTCCGGCGGCGTCGGCTCGAGATCTTTGTTCGACCATCTCGCGTCGCCGATCTGGGCTCGTCCGTTGTGCGCTTCGGGGGCCTTGACCCATTCTGCGAAGGCTTCTCTGGACTGGAACGGAGCCGCCATCTCGGCCTTGGAAGGCATGCGGATGCGCGCCATTGTTTCTGGCGAGCCGGGGGGTTTTTTTTTTTTTCGTCTTTCTTAGTGACTCTGGAAACAAACAAGCGTATTTCTCTCTCTCAGACACACAAGTGGACAATGGAAACCGGCGGCATCACTTCTCTTTCAATCTTCAAAGCTGGTCGTCACCAATATCATCATATGGGCAGATCCAGAGCGTGGGTGTCAGCTCCATGACGACCTCCCCTTGCTGTTTCCTCTCCTCAAACAATCTCATCGGCGTATTTCCAACCGATACTCCCGCAACGCCACGCGAACCGTTGGCCCGCAGCGGCACGATAAGGCCCACGGCGTATGCGGAGCAGTACTTGGCGCTTAGATGATGGATCGGGCCTCCAGTGCTCCACTGAGATAACATTGCCTCCCTCTCGGCCTTTGGTCTTATCTGCATGATGAACGCCCGAGTGTCCCAAGTAGGTAATCACTACGTCGTCGGTAAGAAACTACCGACATTGGCGTCTGACCCAAGATTGAAGTGGCTGGGTGTCTACGGATCGTCTAATAATCAGAAGCGAACGGGCGTACTTTGTTTTTTCTGTTGTCCTGGAGCACCGGCTTCGATCAGAGACATGCCGGATATGTGACAATGCGTAGACCTGTGCCGCACATTACCAAAGATCTGGGTCAAACATCTGAGCTCGGGACTTCTTCCAGGCCAAGGTACCACGCGCTATCTGTGGAGATGGGGGCCGTCCGTATTACCCCATGTCCATAGCTGCATGCCCTTTGGAGTCAGATGTGGATGATCCCTACCTGTCTCTCTGTCTCTCTCTCTCTCTCTCTGTCTCTCTCTCTCTCTCTCTCTCTCTCTCTCTCTCCCTCTCTCCCTCTCTCCCTCTCTCTCTCGCCCCCCCCATGGACTTGATCGGCTCGAATTCTTCCTGCTCTGCTTCCTCTCTATCAAGACCAAGTTTCTAGACTCACCGTACACGGCCCCGATGTCTATACAATTCCAGACCGAAAGCATGTTTGATGAGGTGTCCCTAAGCAGACCAGCCGCCCCCACGTCGGCTTCTCATCGGGAGAGCCCCGTAAGCCCCGGGACTGGTCCTACGATCGCCGGAAGCCATATGCCACCGAGCCGCAAGCAGCGGGTCGCGCTGGCGTGTAAGCGGTGCAAGCGAAGGAAGCAGCGAGTACGCAGATCCCCTGATAACGGGCGTGGGCTGTGTGCGCATGTCAAACTAATGTCGGTAGTGTGACGGCGCCCATCCAAGCTGCAACTCTTGCAGGAAGGCCAACTCTGAATGCGTCTACGAGCGGGCCCTAAGACCCCATTATCCCGGTGGGAAGTCACTGTAAGCCGGCCGAAACATGCGTGCCACTTGGTGACGTTTGTCATGCTCATGCCGAGTCAAGATACATCAGCGCCCTTGAAGAGAGAATTGCGTTCCTGGAAGCGCGTATGCCAGATTATGCCGAGGACCACTTCGCCTCAACCTCGGCCGCGACGCCGGCGCCTCCGCCGGCGCCAGCCCCGGCCCAGGAAGCAAAGTCTCCTCGGCGGGAATCGCGGGACTCGTGCTCCGAAGACGAGCCCACATCTTTGGTTGACGGTGTCGCGTACTTATCCCTCTGCGCGTCCGGCACTACGGACACCGCCCCGGAGCCGTTCTACCTCGGATCGAGCTCCGGCGCGACCATTGCACGGATGATTCAGTCCGCCATCTTTCACGGAGCCGCTGGCAGGGCGGCCCTGTCTGAGGCGATGGCTGCGGCGCCGGCTGGTGTGCTGAGCCCGCCGCGGTCGAGAAACTCGGTGTCGGCGTCATCGCATCCCGACGAGCCCATGTCGGAGTTTCCGTATCCTTCCGAGTCCAAGATGCTGTTCGACGTGTTTTTTGACCGCCTCCACACACGGTGGCCCATCTTGGACCGGCAGCTGTACACGACGCTATTCGAACAGCAGTACGACCAGGGCGCGCTGTCGATACAGCACAGAAGCATCATGCACCTGGTATACGCCATCTCGGCGAGGTTCCTCCAGCTCATGAAGAAGCCGTGTGACGTGGACCCGCAGGTGAGTCGGGCATGAGACGAAACGTTTTGGAAAGGGCAGGCTGACGATATGCAGCAACACCTCATGGCCGCCATCGAACCAATGGACTACATACTTGAGCAGCACAACCTCGCCACCGTCCAGTTCCTGCTCCTCCTGGCCGTTCACGGCACGCGGAGTCCGTACGGCGCCGGTGCGTGGTCTCAGATACGATACGCCGTGACGCTCTGCATCGAGCTGGGCCTCCACAGGAAGCAAACGACCGCATCGTCTCACAGCGCACGGGATCTCGAGATTAGGAGACGAGCCTTCTGGTCATGTTATTGTCTGGACCGCATGACCAGCGTGGTTCTCGGACGGACCTTTGCAATCGCCGACAGGGACATCAATGTCGAGGTGGGTTTCCCCGATATGCTGCGAAGTGGAGGGTAGTAGTCATGAGGGTTTAACATGGCCGGACAGCTTCCAAGCGACAGCACCGAGTTCTGGGACCTTACTGCTCTGGGAAGCCCCCCGGCTGGGCAGAAGCCCGTCTGGTCGAACGTGGAACCCTTCATCCATATCATCAAGCTGCGTAGGATTCAGTCGAGAATTCACCGGCGCGTGTACCGCGTCGACCGGGACGTATTCACAAGCTCGCCGGAGGAGAGGTCCAAGCTCGACACGAAGATGGCCGCCATCCGGGCCGAGCTCGACGAGTGGGCGCGATCCATCCCACACCCGCCCAAGGACGCCGCGGGCATTACGTGGATGTACGACCCGGAGAGCGCTTACCACGACTCGAGGGACTTTTTCAACCTGTACGTGGTGGGGGCCAACGTTTGCGTGGGTAGTTGTTGGAACGAACATGCGCTGACACTGGGAGGTACAGTCAGTACCACAAATCGATCCTGTCGCTGTTCACCGTCCTTCTCCCGACGGTCAGCACGTCGGACGCGAGGTTCGTCACGACGGCGCGCTCCGCCGCGTGCGTGTGCACGGCGTACAAGCGGCTGAACCAGCAGAAGACACTGAGCTACACCATGACGGCGCTCCACTCGTGCTTCATAGCGGGCCTGACGCTGGTGTACTGCCTATGGAGGGACCGGGCCCTCTTCTCGTACGACGCGCTGGAGGCGACCCACGCCTGCTCCCAGTCCCTCACCATCTTCGGCGAGAAGTGGCCCGGCGCCGTCAAGTACCGCGACATCTTCGACGCCCTCTCTGGGAGCCTGTTCAAGACCATCGTCGACCCACGGGCCGAATCCGCCGCGCCGGGCCCGAAGCCGCTCAAGGTCGACTTTGCCGCAGAGCCCGTCGGCTCTCCCACAGCCCCCTCTGCTGCGGCGGCGACCGCGTCGTCGGATGGCGGCGGCGGGAGGCGCGGGAGCGGGGCCGAGGAGAGGTGTGCCGTGGGGGACGCCATCTCGGACGCGGTCAAAGAGGCGTTCATGGAGGTGGACGAGGAGGCGCCGGGCGGGTGGCAGGGGTGGAGGATGTTCAACGAGATGGTGCAGAGCGACCTCGCGCCGTCGGGGCCGCCGCCGCCGCCGCCGCCGCCACAGGCCGGGAGCTGGGACGTGCTCGCGCAGGACGCCGTGTCCATTCACGACTTGGGCCAGGGAGGTGTCTCCGACGTGATGGATTCGGAATGGGACTTTGGCGGGCTGGAGGGGCTACGGTGAGCTGGCGAGGATGTGCTTGCAAGTTTGTACAGAGTATGTTACTTGTACTTGTCAAGTTTAGAGGCTCTGGCTGTGATACATATTGATCACTGGCCGTTGAGCTCTCAACACCCGATTAGTAATCGAGCGGGGGTCGGTTAGCTCAGTTGGTTAGAGCGTGGTACTAATATTTCAACCGAAATGTTGTGTAATGCCAAGGCCGGGAGTTCAAGCCTCCCACTGATCACACCTTTTTCTCTTTTGCGCTTTTCCGTGTTGGTTGAAAGGGAAGTAAGTAAGTAAGTCTTCTCTTTTTTCTTTCCCTTTCTTTTTTTTTTCTTGTCTTGAGTGATGCATGCATATACATACAAAGTAGATGGACGTGGCATTCCGCTGCAGAGGCGTAGGGATACACCATGAGACAGAAACCCAGTTCAATGTGGTCCTTGTTTACTTACATGCCTAATACTCGATCGACATGATGGAAGATTTTCCCTCTTTTCTCCAACATCTCACACGTGGTAGGCGAGCAAGACAGAGTTACGCGCACAAGCGTCTATCATCATGAACATGTACAAAAATACACACTGCCACGCTATCATGAAAATGACGACAACTACAACTACACACAACCCGCCCCTCACGCCAGCTGGCCCTTCTTGTACGGGTACTTGGCCTTGAAGGCCTCGGCGATCTCGGTCCTCGTGGCGACCCAGACGCCCTCCTTCTTGGCAATGTAGTCGACAAAGTCGCGCAGGGCGGCGAGGCGGCCGGGGCGGCCGATGATGCGGCAGTGCAGGCCGATGGTCATCATCTTGGGCATGCCCTCCTCGCCCTCGTCGTAGAGCACGTCGAAGGCGTTCTTGAGGTGGGTGTAGAAGCCCATGGGGTCGCGGAAGCCGGAGCCGGCCGTGTGGAACTTGAAGTCGTTGCAGTCGTAGCTGTAGGGCACCATCAGGCAGCCCTTGGGGTCCGGGCGGTCGCGCTCGAGCGGCAGGTCGATCCAGTAGGGCACGTCGTCGGCGTACGTGTCGCTCGCCCAGACGAGGTCCTCGCCGAGCTCCTCGTACACCTGCGGCACGAGCGTGCGCGAGTGCGGCGAGTTGCGCCCGTAGTACCACCCGCGCGGCGCGTACCCCGTCAGCGACTTGAGCGACGCCACGCACCGCCGGATGTACTCCTTCTCCTGCTCGACCGGCACGTCGTGGTAGTCGATCCAGCGGTACGCGTGCGACGCCACGTCGTGCCCTTCCTCGACGCACCGCGCCGCCACCTCGGGCTGCTGCTCGACCGCCTGCGCCACCGCGTAGAGCGTGAACTTCATCCGCCGCGAGTTGAAGAGCCGGAAGAGCCGCCAGAAGCCCGCCCGCGACCCGTACTCGTACTCGGACTCGACGTTGTAGTTGCGCTCGTTGTACTTGGCCGGGCCCAGCGGGTTCTCGCGCAGGTTGGTCTCCGACTCGCCGTCGCCCGCGAGGACCGAACGCTCGCCGCCCTGTTTTGTTGTTGTTGTTGTTGTAAGTCCAGTTCAAAATCTGTCTTGCCGGAGAGCCTAAAGTCCAGGTGGGAGGGGGTGAGCGTTACCTCTTCATAGTTGATGACGAAGGAGACGGCAATCTTGGCGTCGTTGGGCCACGGGCACGCGATACCCTTCTCGCCGTACCCCTTAAAGTCACGGGGGTAGCCGTAGTCCGGGTGTGCGTGGTAGACTTCAGGCATGGCGGCGGTTCTTCTTCTTCTTCTCCTCTGGACGGTGTGTGTCTCTTGGGTATCGACTAACAAAGGTTCAATCAATTGGGAGGGAGATTTGAATAACGGTCGTGATGGGGGGGGCGGGAGGTCTCGTCAAGGTTGCAGGACACTTGGGACGAACAATGGGCACTGATCTCTTTTATTTTCTCCTTTCAGATATCGTGCCCCGTCACTGCAAATAGGCGTTCGAGCCCTCCTCCCCGCCCTTATTGCCCAGACATCGGCCTATCTCATCCGAGAGAGAGAGGGAGGGGGGGGGGGGGGGGCGCAATCGTCTGTCGGGCGAACCCAAACCGCGCCGCATCGCATCGCATCGCGGGGCCGCGCAGAAGCACACACTATCACGGACAATCTGCGACGGATATGCGTGTGTTTGGGTCCTGTGAGACCCCAGCGGAATTGGCGTCCGTCGTTATCAAACGCCAATGCAGCCTGCAGCGCGTTATCGGACGGGCAACGCGCATATCTGTGGCTTCGTCCAGATCTTCCGGCACCTACCCTCATGCGTCTAGGTACAGGACCCGACTCCGCCGCCCATCGGATCAAAGAAACCGTTGGAGAGCGTTCGGAGACTTGCCTCTGATCCCCAGGGGTGTTGATAAGGACGCGCGGGGTCGAACTGGTATCGTTGGAGGTGGGGTTTTGTCAGCGGCCCGCGGATAACGTCGCCAGATGGGTCGGAGGTGGTGATAACGATGGGGTAATGCGGGTTGTTGATGTACCATAGTGAACCAGACTTGCGTTTCGCGAGTAAAATGGGATCCGATTGCTTGATCGGGACATGGCCGACGACGATCGAGTTGCAGGATGAGAGTAAGAGAGAACACAAAGACTCGTGCGCGTTCCGTCATCCCCAATAGACTCTCTTGTTCATTCCTCTACAACCCCCGCCCCCCAGAATACAAGTCCGCCATGCAAGAGCTCGGTGATTTGTGTTTTGTAATGCTTGCAAGTGTCCTCTAGTTTTTTTCTGAATATGTAACTCCGTCCAAATGCTACCGATGCTGTAACCCGCCGATGCCCCCCTCCCCCCGTCTTGATGCCCAAGTCTTGCTCAATGTGAGAGACCAATGTCTCTTAGCTGCTACCATCTCTCTTCTCGTTTCCGTTTCCAAGAGTCTCCGCCGGCGGTTCGCTCGCGACTTCCGACGCCTCCTCGGCCTGCGCCGGCTTCTTCGCCTTCAGGCCCGTGTTGCCCACGCCGAGCGTCAGCGCCAGGCTGAGACCGGTGCAGACGACGTAGTAGATGAAGATGTAGTGCAGGCCCCTCATGTACGCCCGCAGTATCACCGCCTGCTCCTCGTCCGAGAAGCCCTTTTGCCCCAACGTGTACGTCGACGACGTCAGCTCGGCGATGACGCCGTCCGAGATGAAGCCCCTGCCTTGCAGGTCCCGCCGCAGCGTGTTGGAGAGGATGACGCCCGAGACGACGAGCCCGAAGGCGCCGCCGATGGTGCGGATGAAGTTCCGCAGACCCGTCGTCACGGCGCGGTCCTCGCTCCGCGAATTGGCGTACATGCCCACCAGCGTCGGCTGCAGCGTGAGGCCGATGCCCGCGCCGACGATGATCAGAATCCCGATGAGCTCGCCCAGCCCCGTGTCGCGGTCAAAGAGTATCGTGAGCCCGTTGCCTAGCGTCCATAGAAAGAACCCGACGAGGATGCAGGGCATGTACCGCCCCAGCCAGAGCATGTACTGACCCGAGAGAATGGACATGACCGACGTCGCGATGACGACGGGCAGAATCATCGCGCCGGCGGCGAGAGGCGAGAATTTGAGGACCGACTGGAAGTAGATGGGCAGGTAAAACAGATTGCCAAAGTACGCCTGGCCCATCAAGAACGTCTGGCCGTAGAGATAGCTGCAGTGCGGTGCCTGGAACAGGCGGAGGGGCATGATAGGGAGCCTCGCCAGCTTCCATTCGTACAAGACAAAAAGCACGCCCAGGACGGCGCCGACAGTCACGGCTGCGATGACGAACGGCGAAGACCACGGGTAGGACACGCCGCCGCCGGAGAGCGGAACCAGCACCAGGAGGGTCGAGGCCATGTTCAGCGCGATGCCGCCGTAGTCAATCTTCTTGACCTTGTCCGCGTAGTTGCCCGACTGGTGCTTGAGGGGCAAGCAGAAGAGGATGGTGACGGCCGCCGGTGCACATATGATGGGTACCATCCAGAAAACCCACCTCCACGTTGCCTCCTCCACGACTGCGCCGCCAACAAAGGGGCCAACTCCATTCGCCAGGGCGATAACAGCGCCAAGCACGCCTTTTAGAGTGTGTAAGCTTATATAGCCTTCACAAGAAGACGTAGAACAAGAAGACGTAGAAGAGATAGTCATGGCTTACCCTGATATTTGCCTCGGTTCTCCAACGTCGTGATGTCACTGACGATGATCATGACAATGCTGTTGATCCCGCCGCCCCCAATGCCCGCGACGGCCCGGAACGCAAACAGCTGCTCCTTGGTCTTGGCGAACCCGCAGAGGATGTCGCCGACAGCCATCAACACGAGGCATATCATGAGCAGGTTCTTCCGGCCAAAGATGTCGGACAGCCGCCCGTTGATGAGCTGGAAGGCAGTCGACGCGATGAGGAACGACGTGCCGATCCACGACGTCGCCGTGCCGGTGTCGAGGTCCCCCGCTATCGCCGGCACCGCCGTCGAGACGCTGGTCTGGTCGATGAAGGACACGAAGAGGCAGACGGACAGCGCGGAGAAGGCCAGCAGCATGCGCTTCCGCGACATGGTGTTTCTCTGTCCGCCAACACTCTCCGCATCGCTGTCGTCTTTCGGTTGCTGTCTCTCGGCCGGCGATGGCGGCGTGTTGGCCTCATTATCGTTGGAAGCCGGTTCCGATCCGAGCACCTGTTGCGCCGCCTTCTCGCTCGTGTTGTCGTCCTTGATTGGCGCATCTTCCTTCATCTTGACAGTAGCATGCTCCTCGAGTCGCTTGTGTGGGAGAGAGGATCACCATCCGCGGCGACGCAGCCCAAGAAAAGTCAACAAGTTGAGGTCCCCGGTCTAGATCGAATCTGCAGGCTTCGGTTCCGAAGTGCCGGCTGTCATATCCCCCCCCCCCCCCCCGGGGTACATTGGAGTGCGCGCATCGGGCGCACCGTTACAGGTTTCCATCACGTCACAGACATCCATCTTCCGGGAATAAGTGAGTGGCCCTTCGACTTGGGCGATCCCCACTGGATGGGTCGGCATGGGTGGCGGGAACAAGATTGGTGCCCGCCGTCTATCCAACGCTTTTCTTCTTCGGCAAGTTTTGTGCCGATGCGCATCCGCGTCCGAGAGGCGGTGTGGTTTCTGGAGCTGTGGCGTCGGGTATAAGTGGAATTGCCATAGATATAATGGTCGCCTCGGGGGGTGTTCATCTTGACAATGGCATTTGTATGGATATATGGCGGAATTATAGGAAACACTTCAGATTTCCGTCTCAAATGTCCCCGCCGACGTTGGGGCAAAGCATCTGCATGAGTGTGCCAAGAAGAGAGATAAACCAGGATTATCCGTACACGCTAGTAATGGCGCAGACGATGGCGAAATCACCGACGCCGCTTAGCCGCTTTTTAGACTCGTGCTGCATCCATCTACCTTACTTTATCTTGACCCGCCGTGTGCCCTCTTGATGAATCAAGTTCTTGATGAACCAAACCCCGCGAAACTCTGACCAGTCGCTACCATGTCGAAGCTCTTCTCGCCCTTGGCCGTCGGGTCGGTTCACCTCTCCAACAGGTTGGCGTTGGCCCCGTTGACTCGGTACCGCGCCGATGACGAGTGGACGCCGACTCCGATGATGAAGGGTGAGCGCGAAGCACTGGTAATTCACCCGCTGGCAGTTTTGTAAGCTGATGGCAGCCGATAGAGTACTACGCGCAGAGAGCCTGCGTGCCTGGCACCCTGCTCGTATCGGAAGCAACAATCATCTCGTATCGCGCCGTAAGCCGCTTCAACGTACCCGGAATCTGGACCGACGCCCACATCGCCGGCTGGAAACAAGTGACGGATGCCGTCCACGAAAAGGGCTCCTTCATCTACTGCCAACTGTGGCATCTCGGCCGCGGTGGCAAGATGGACGTGCTCCAGTCGCTCGGCCTGAAGCTCGAGTCATCGAGCGCGGTGCCTATCGCCGACGACACACCCACGCCGGTGGAGCTGAGCGAGGCCGATATCCTGGATATCATCGAGGACTACGCGACGGCCGCGCGTAACGCCATCGAGGCCGGCTTTGACGGCGTCGAGATTCACGGCGCCAACGGGTACCTCCCGGACCAGTTCCTCCAGGACAACTGCAACAAGCGGACCGACGCCTGGGGCGGCAGTATCGAGAAGCGGGCGCGGTTCCACCTCGAGGTGACCAAGGCCGTCATCAACGCCGTCGGGGCTCACAGGACGGCTGTGCGCCTGAGTCCGTACAGCGACTTCCAAGGGATGCTAATGGACGATCCGGACCCCACCTTCAGATATCTGGTCGAGCAGTTGAAGCCTCTGGGCCTGGCCTATCTTCACCTGATCGAGGCCCGGATCAGTGGCAACGAAGACACGGACTGCGGCGGACAACGGACGGTGAAGTGGCTGGTCGAGCTGTGGAACAACGCGAGCCCGGTATCGATCGCTGGCGGCTTGACTGCCGAGTCGGCACGGAAAGCCGTTGAAGAGACGTATAAACAGTATGATGTGATCCTCGCCTTCGGCCGCTGTTTCATTCCGAACCCGGATCTTGTCTTCCGCATCAGGGAAGGCATCGAGCTGGAAAAGTACGATCGAACGTATTTTTACACACCAAAACTCCCTACTGGATATATCGACTACCCGTTCTCTCCCCAGTTCAAGTCGGCGTCGAGCATCTCATAGCATATGTCTGCCAGAGGCAGAGAGAAGGACGGTTGGGGAGTTGTACAAACAGGACATCATGACCCGGGCAACGAAATGTCAAAATAGCAAATATACATCATTAGATTATGGTATCCGAACGTGATCAGGGTCGTCATCTCATCGCCGTTAGTCGTACAAAATGTCACCATCGTCTTGAGACGCTGCTGCTAGACATGGGGCTTTCCAGTCGATTCTCTGTAGTCGGAGAGCCGCTCGCGCGGACAAACAAAAGTAACAAAAAGGGGATGCAATGAACTCGGCCATTCTTGCTCACTCTTCACTGACGGTGCCCAGACGCAGCTGGGAGCCCAGCTTGCGTGACGGTCGCAGGAGGAGGCTCCTGCTGGAGCGGTGCTTCAGCCCGTCGTCGTTCCCGAGCCCCGTATTCTCGGTTCTTGTCGATCGTAATTCGAAGGAGCTGGCAACTCTCCTGATTTTATCTTTGAGCATCCGCAGCGAGCCTCGCTTGATAAGGGTGGTCCCGGGCCGCACGGGGGGTTCCGACGAAGTCGCCGTAGCATGGGCTGGTTTGCTACGAGTATGACTGGGCTGCCTTAGCGTGGGGCCAGTTTCTGGGTCGACCTTCCTGGAAGAAATGACACCGACCGACGCGACTCGACGGACCGACTTTCGGGGATAGAATATGCTTAGGCTCGACCGGGGGCGTGGAGGCCGTGGTTTCGGTGACGAACGTGCCGCCTTCAATCCCGTGGCTGGGCCTGGAGTTGAGACCGACTGCCGTTGTGCGGCCCGCATGAGAAGGTCCGGCTGGCTTGACGCATGCTGACCCGAATATCTCTGAGACGGCGCATGGGGTTTTAGGGGCGTATTTCTGGATATGGGGCCCACAAGCGTGGCTCTGCGGCTTACGGGCGTTGACGCCGCGCGCTGCTGGGGGCCTGGTATTGTCGCGCTGGCGGACTGTGTGCGAGTGTGCGTCCGTTGCCGTTCAGGACCCGTCGGGCGCCTGAACTCGGGCTGTGATGGAGGCAATGGTTCTTCGCCAATCTCGACTGCGGCGGGAATGTCTCCCACCTCGTGCCGCCGCCCTGGCCGACGCTTGGCCCGTAGTTTCTTGAGATAGTCGTCGGAGCTGACACTGCGGAAGGACATCTCGGCTGCGGCTCGCTCGGCGCGACGCCTCGCTTGTCGGTGGAGGTGCGCGACCTCTTCGGGTGATAGGGCCATTTTGAATGTGTGACCAGGCGTACCTGCTGATTTCGAACTGCTATCGGGTAAATATAGTCTGCGCCTCTACTCTTTCGATGTTCGTGGCGAGCCTCCAAAGAACCTTCGCGAATGGTCACAGGTCTCCTGAACTACGAAAAAGTTCTATATCATGACCGTTTACTCGAGGCCGGGCGGTTCTTTCGCTTTCGGCACATCGATGGAATTTTCGAATGCGGCGGGATGTCTCAGTTCGAGGCACGCAGACTCAACAGGTGGCCGGCAGTTGCGTGGATGGCCAGGAATGTGGACCGCCGTAACCGTCAAGGTCGACCGTTTCCGTTCCTGTACCTGTAAAGGAGAACAAAGCCTCGCCTATCGTGGCCGTCGGGGTATTCAAAGTCTCGTAGACAGGCCGCGTGGCTGGGGTGGCCCCGGGCTGCGCCGATGGAAAAAGTCTTGGGTAGCCTGCAGCTCAGTTGAGGGAGAGATCAGGTTGCCATGTCGAACAGGAGGACTCGTGCGGAGGCGGGATTATTACCCGAGGGAGCGGGAGGTCTGTCTGTTTGCAGCCGTGTGTCCGAGGCAATGCGGAAGTGAACCACCTTTGTCGAGGATGGATGTTCCTGGTTCGTGAGGCGGATGAGGGGAGACGGAGCTTGGGGCAAGCAAGATTGGCGATGGCGGGGAGGTTGGTCAGACTGATACTTACATAATATGCACACTCTGCATATATACACATTATGCATCATACATAAGCCCGGGTAAGCACATATGCTCCATACTCCCGATAGAGCGATCTGAATATTTTATTTTGTTTGCCCTCTTCATCTCATCCCGTCGGTATGCCTATCTATCTATCCCGTAGCCAAGTCGGAGGTCATTATGCATAATTGTACATTTGTGTCATCAAGTCATTCGCGGTGCAAGATTCTTGTGATCCTCCCCGCTTCCTCTGAAAAAGAAAAGCCAAGCCCCCAGAGACATGCGCACCGGCTGTTTACAGCTTGGCCGCGTCCTTGGGGTTCTTGATCTCGACAATCAGCTTGCCCGTGTTGATGCCCTTGTACAGGTCCACGAGGGCCTGCTCGGCGACCTTGAGGCCGCCCTTGACGATGGTCTCCTTGCGCTTGATCTTGCCCTCCTCGAGCCACGCCGCGAGCTCCTTGCGGGCCTGGACGTACTCCTTGACGTAGTCGAAGACGATGAAGCCCTGCATCTTGATGCGCATCGTGATGATGTTGGCGTAGTTCTGTGAGGCGAGAGAGGTCAGTCTTTGGGAGGGGCCAAACTTGGCGGATACGGCGGACGGGGTGGGTGGTTTACCTTGGGGCCCTGGGGCGTGGCCGAGTTGTACTGGCTGATGCCGCCGCACATGACGAAGCGGGAGAACTCCTTGGCGCGGGCGAGGGCCATGTCGAGGATCTCGCCGCCGACGTTGTCAAAGTAGACGTCGATGAAGTTGGGGGTGGCGTCCTTGAACTTCTGCTTGAACTCGGGGTCCTTGTAGTTGAGGGCGACGTCGAAGCCGAGCTCCTCGGTGAGCCAGCGGCACTTGTCGTCGGAGCCGGCGAGGCCGACGACGCGCGCGCCCTTGAGCTTGGCGATCTGGCCGGCCACGCTGCCGGTGGCGCCGGCGGCGCCCGAGACGACGACGGTCTCACCGGACTTGGGCTCGCCGACGCGGAGCATGCCAAAGTAAGCAGTCAGCGCCGTCATGCCGATGCCCGAGAGGTAGTCGACCGGCTGAGAGACGGCTGGGTATGACGAGACGGGCTCGACGCGGCTGTCATGAACGACGCTGTACTCGGACCAGCCGCCGTAGGCGGGGAGGACGTCGCCTTCCTTGGCCTTGAGGGACTTGGATGCGATGACGCGGCCGACGGTAGCACCGCGCATGACTTCGCCGATCTGGACGGGGGGGATGTAGGAGCGGCGGTCTGGGGGAGGGTTCGTCAGCAATTGTTTGACCACCACCAGCAGCAGCAGCAGCAGCAGCAGCAGCAGCAGAGCATAAGAGGGTACGCACCGTTCAACCAACCGCGCATGGCGGGGTCCAGGGAGAGGTACCAGTTCTCGATGAGGATCTCGCCATCCTTGAGGTCGTCGGCCTTGGGGATAGGCTTCAGCTCCGTCTTGAAGGTCTGGCCAGGGACGATCTCGGCCTTGGGACGCTCGGCGAGCACGACGGTGAGGTTCTCCGTCGACATTGTTGTGTTTGAGATATGGAAGAGGGTCCGGGAGACAGAAAATTAATGTGAGGGATATCGGTGAGAGATGTATACAACACTAGAAAATCACAGACACGTCTTTCCAAAGAGCCTTTCCAAAAGTCATACGTATCAGCTTTGGAGGGGAACAGAGGGGTATTAGTAGTCAGTCGGCTTTCTCATCCGGAAGTCAAGAGACAAACATAGTTCATACTTTTTTGGATTCTCCGCCTCGTTCAAGGGACGGGCTGGCTTACTCGTCCGAGGTTCATCGCCGTGCAGCGTACCACAATTTTCTCTCCTGCCCACTCCCTCAAACTCAATCCTTTTCTCTCTCTCTCTCTCTCTCTCTCTCTCTCTCTCTCTCTCTCTCTCATATGTCCTTTGGCACATGTCCATGTCATGGCCATTTTTCTCGTGCCCCGCGCGCCCCTCCCCGGAGCACGACGACCAAAGAAGGACATTGGCCCGCACGAGCTCCGAGACTCCAACAAACGATCGAGGAATGTTCTCCGGCGCACGGGGCACGGGCTAGTAAGGATAAGGCCTGGACGGGGGACCCGTCATCGCCGCGTTGAGACGCGCGCCTCGGGTCGCACAGAGGTGGGCTGTAGGTATTTGTTGATTGCATGGCAGGGCCTCGACTGGCAGCGGCTGGTTTTCCCCGAGACACCGGTCGAGGGGCGCGTCGTCCGGGGGATTTCTCGCTTTTCCCATGTGCCTACGCAGTACGGATAGTGCGGTAGTGCATCCTCGCTAAGGAGACTGTACATTTACATGGGTACATATAAATACAACTGTACTTGTCCATCCCTGGGTAGCGTACATATGTACGCGGACATGGACATACCTATTCGTACTAGGTAAGTCTGTACATCAACAACACCTCGAAGGGGCTGGGGCGGGATGCATGCACAAGCAGTCGTATTCCGTACGTGCTCAGTATCTGTACTCTGTATCCGTAGGCCAATGTGAAACTCCGTTCTCGGTATTGGTAGTCGACATCCTGGTTCACCCCCCCCCTCTCTCCCCAAGACCGTGGACCCCGACTGGCCGAACTGGTTGATGGCTACCAACCTACCTACCTGGATTCGTACCTATCTGTATCCGTACACTACGGAGTACATACATGAACACCTGCCAGGAGCGGGCTGCTGCGTCTCGCCTGGCTCCCGTGGTGGAGCCGAGTAACCGTCCATGACGCCATGCCGAGGTACGAGGCGAGAGACGCCGGCCTTTCTCAGCTAGCAAGCCACTCTCTCGTCAGCTTGCGTGTCTGTTGTTCATCGTCTGTCGATCTGCCAGCCAGTAGGCGAGTAGTTTACGTGTACACTAGCACACTATGTGACTACCTAGCTTGACTAGCTACACTAGTTCACCACCCTCCATCCGTGCCCTCCAGAGCCCCTCCCCCTGCGCCCGGCATTGACAGCCTGACAGGTCTCAGGGGTTCCCTGATCGTTTCCAAGCGAGGGGAAGCGAGGTGCGGGAACGATAGACGGACGGGGGGGCCGGTGGACGGACTCGTACTGACTTAGTGCTGTAGATGCTTTGGGTCATGACCGTTGAGCTTTCGTCCGTCCCATGTAGCATTCCGAAAGGGGGGGACCCGGAGGGGGTGGTTCGGGCTGCACTGCCGTTCCCTGCCCCCGGATTGGAAGTTCGGTATTGTGAGACTCGAAGCTTGACAGAAGAATCGGCGTTGCAATCCGCCGGGTGCGTAACGGCTAGCGTGCGGCGTAGTCTACCTAATCGTCGAGGGTTCATCGGCATTCATACACCTCGACGGAGTATTGTGCCTGGTGTATCCGCACTCTGGATCGACAATCCTACCAACAGAAGCGGACAATACAGACGAGGACAATACAGACAAGAACAACACAGACAAGAACAACACAGACAAGAACAATACAGACAAGAACAGTACATGGAACGAACGCGGGCATGGCGCTCTCAATGTTCCCCCGATTGGACGCCTTCATCCTTTGCTCTCTCCCCTCCCCCTCTTCCATGCCGAGGCACATCTCCTACGTATCTGCACCACCTACTCAGGCCGCTGGACTTTTCGGGCTATTTTCTTTGGTTCTTCTTTGGATTTTCGTTTTTTCCCCTCCCCACTCCCCTGCGATTTCTTTTTCCGGATCCTTCACCGACGGCCGATACTCCCAATCCGGTCCCCATCCGGGCCTGCATCTCGGCCGGCCGCAGCCTGTGTGTCCCATGCATGCATTTCCAGATCGGCCAATCGTGCGCATGTGTCAAAAAGCCGTCGGCACGACATCGTTTTACCTCCCCCGGTCGACTGAGCAGACAGATACTTTGCTGATCGGGGGGTTCGGTTGCGAAATTCCATGGTACGGTCTATGCATCCATCATTGTGCGTGTACCTTTGTGGCATTGGCAACGTACCTTGATACCCCATCACCTAACCCTGCCCTCACTCACCACACACCGACACCACACCGATACCACACCGATATCTCACCGGGAATAACTGTTCACGACTTACGCAAGTCACCGAGGAGCGACGCATCTACTGTCCCGGTTGTCAGAGGTATCCATCATCTCATCATCCTTTTACCCACGGAGACGGATGCACAGACGGGAGCAATCAAGATGCGAAAAGGAATCCGTGGCTGCAAAACAAACATGGTGGCAATTGGTGGCCACCGACTGGCATTATTATCATTATCATTATCATCATCTGCCAGCAAAGCAAAACTTGAGGCTGAGGAGAGACCAGAGTTGTTGATGTAATTACTAGTGGTGTGGTGGCGTGGTGGTGTTGATGTCTCTCCCCATACCTAGTTTCCAAAGTATCCCGCCTTCCCGTATTCCCTAAACCGTGAGGGTGGTTGATAAATCCCTCGAAACCCGCGGATCATGTTGCCCTTCAGCCATCATCGAGTTCCTCCTCGTCAACTCATGCCTACACCAGATTCTCGTCGTATTCATCCGGAGCAAGAGTCTTCCAATCATTCAAGCCCGAGACCGACGACTGCTTCGGGAACCCGCACAGCTTGTACATCCACCCCGCGTTTCTAACGGCGTTGATATCCTTATCGGCACCCTCACAGGCCGGCCTGGAGCAGAAGCCCACGTGGTATGTCATCCAGGTGAAGAACGTGTCGAAGTCGTCCCGGCAGAACTTGACTCGGGGAACCGTGTAAATGTCGAAGCCCATCTTCCAATTCTTCTCTTCAATGCAGCGCTGCATGCATTCCGGGACCTCGTGGAGAGGCAGAGGCTCGTTCTCGTATGGTACCTGCCAGGCGGGGTGCTTCTTGGGATCCGCTGCCAGCGTACATGTGGCCATCGCAAGGACAAGGGCCCCGAGCACCAAAGAAGTGATCTTCATTGTCAATGAGATTTGTGAAGTCGAAGTCGTAGACCTTGCAAGAGTTGGGGCAGATGGCCCTTGTTGACAGTTGTTTGATCTCGTAATTCAGCGTCGTAGTGATTGAGTCGTGTTGCAGAACCTGATTTTCGTTTCAGTGACAGGTTGCTTTGATTTGATTTGGAGTGTGTAGGAAGGATGGTTTGGGGCCCGGGAGGGGACTTGAAATGAGTCTTGGAATCAACCTATCTCCGTTGGCTCGGATACCCACCGGGAAAAAGACAACAAGCTCCTCAACTACAACCTCCATGCCGCCACAGATCCTCGAACTCAGATCCGAGCCCTATTTCCACCCACAGGAATCAAACTCAGTCCACATATTGATACCATGAAAGGTAATGCCGAATTGCCTCATGTACATTGGCATACTCGCTGCATCAACTGTCACATTCTGCACCAAATCCCGGGACACTTGTTTCTTGCCTGCTATCATCACACACTTATGTCTCTTCATTCTTCAAAGCTGCATTCGTTATTTTCCTTTTACCCTCTTTCCATTAGTCATACCCGACACCAAACTCTTGCACATCAAGGTTTGAGCAGATGATTCCTGTCGCCAAGAGTTCCTACGAACCCAAGCGCTTACACTCCCAAACTCGAGCACATATGGAGTCCTCCTCCTCCTCCTCCTCCTCCTTTTTGTCCTTCCACTCGATCGCTCGCTCGTGTCCTTTCCTCTGCCCACCCACCCCTCCACTCCATACCTGTCAAGTGGCCTAGTCCTTGCATCCTCTTGCCACACTTCCGGCCACCCGAGGGCGCAGACAGACCCACGCCAGAAGGCGGATAGTCCTGGCATAAGAAATGATCAGCGAAACGTTCATCGCCTGGGATATGGATTCGGGAACTGAGCACGAGGGAAGGAAGTCGAGCGGGCATACCTTGAGACTGAGCTTGTGGCTTGGGAGCCCTAGAGTTTGACTAGTCGATCGATCAGCATGCAACAAGCTTGTCCGAAGGGGTGTCAGCTACGGAAAACTTTATTTCAACATACCCATCCCGGAAAGCCGTATTGACGACATGAGGTGAGAATGGTCGTTCGAAAACCAGCGACTGTGTCGGCTCGATGGCTATTGTTGATCGAATGGCTCACCATAGAAGCCTCGATGCTTGCAGGTTTGAATCCTTGGGCAGAAACCTGGAAGATGACATGAAAGCGCCGGTGATGTCAAGGTCATTTGGCTTCCAATTGGTGGTAATGAACAGAATACGCATCAACAAGTTGAGTGTTGAGCGAGGCTGAATGGCGTTTGGAGGATTGTGATGAGTTCAGTGCATCCACCCACAGGCCGCCGTACTTTTGCGAGAAAGATGGAAGATCCAGTCGTGTGGCGACCAGCTTGCCAAAATCTCAAGGGAAGCTGCGAAGAAAAAGAGGTTGATTCCCTTGTCAGATTCCGTCGTACCGAGGCCGGAACATCTGGACGTTGCCACAGTAGCGATGCGCTGCTGAGAGCCACCTTGGGTACATAGCTCAAGAGCCAATTGAGAGAAGATTGATTTGAGAGAATCCATGAGAAAATCTCGCAAAGAGGTAGCGTAATGAGCCGTTGCGCCGTTGGATGTTGAATGAAGGCCGAAGGGCAAACCGTTGAGTGTCTCTGAGAGACCGTGTGAGGTGGGTTCTGCCTCCTGGATGTGCGATGAAATGAGGCCCAAAGAGGGGGAGACTGGAAAGACGGGAGGGTCAATGATGGAGGTTGAATGGCTGCCACCATGCGAAAATGCCGAAGAAGTCATCAGAGGATTGAAATGATGTGTCCACGAGAGCCGAGACAATGAGTGGGATGGCGTCCGTCGAGGACAAGATGTGAGACGAGTGTCGAGACACCAAGTATGCCGATGTCTCTGGCGCCAGTAAGAAAGTTGAAAGAAACCCCAAGTCGAAGGGCTTGTAAGGAGTGGTCGAGGAAAAGAGACAAATGGTATCGATATATCGACTATGGTGATGTCTCCGCTCCCAGGTAATGGAAAGAGAAAAACCTCGAGATGGCGCAATTCTCGTTGTCAAGGATCAGAGGTGAAGGGTTTTGAGATGTCAATGATGCTGAGAAGGTGGAGAGCACACAGGGTGGAAGTGCCAAGTGACATCAGTGATGACATGTCTGCCGCCGAGAGATGTGAGGGAGAAGACCAGAGTAACAGTGTTGCGAGACGTCAATGGGGTAGAGACGTCTCTGCCGCCAAGAAGGAAGATTTGGGTTGAAGACACGGAGAGTGGAAGTGTGAGTGAAAGACACAGAATGAAAGTGTCAGGAGACGCCAAGGGTTTGACGTCTCTACCACCAGGTAATAGGAAAGAGAGCCAAGTCACGTCGTTGCCAAGGACGAGACTTGCAGAGTGTTGTGAGACGCCAATAGTGTAGACGTCTCTGCCGCCAAGAGTTGATGTGAAAGAGTGTGCGTTGAGATGTCAAGATTGAGAAATCTTTGCCGCCAAGAATTGATGTGAGAGTGTGTGTAAAATTTTCGAGATGTCAATAGAGTTGACATCTCTGCCGCCGAGAGTGAAAGTGAGAGAGAGTGAGAAGACACATAGTGAGTGTGTAGTGAGACGTCAAGATTAAGTGTGACGTCTCTGCCGCCAAGAGTTGATGTGTGTGAAAAGAGTGAAAGTATCGAGACGTCAATGAGTGAGTGTGACGTCTCTGCCGCCAAGAGTGAATGTGTGTGTGTGTGTGTGTGGAAAAGAGTGAGAGTGTCGAGACGTCAATGAGTGAGTGTGACGTCTCTGCCGCCAAGAGTGAATGTGTGTGTGTGTGTAGAAAAGAGTGAGAGTGTCGAGACGTCAATAGAGTGAGTGTGACGTCTCTGCCGCCAAGAGTGAATGTGTGTGTGTGTGTAGAAAAGAGTGAGAGTGTCGAGACGTCAATGAGTGAGTGTGACGTCTCTGCCGCCAAGAGTGAATGTGTGTGTGTGTGTAGAAAAGAGTGAGAGTGTCGAGACGTCAACGAGTGAGTGTGACGTCTCTTCCGCTAATTGATGTGTCCGTGATAGAGGATACCACAGGACAGTTTGTGTCGCTCATGCTGAGGTGAAGAGTTACCAAAGCAATCCAAGATGAAAGAGGAATGAGCAGGAGGAGTTGCAGGGTTTGGATGTGTCCGGGAATGAGGCAAGGTGTTTGGGTAAGATGTGCCTGTCGATGAACAAGTTGGGTGATTCCCGGAACAGGATCGTGTCGAGCCAAATGAGTAGAGGTGTGTCAGCTCTCGATCCGTTCTTGCGTTAGTTCGCCGTCTTCGATCGCCATCGTCGCAATTCGGGCTACTAACGACCGACACCACGTGAAGGTGCAAGAATTGTCGGTCTGGTTTGTTCTAGCAGTGTCCTTCTGCTCTTCACAGGGACCCTCGATGGGGTTTGTGGAATGGCGAATGTGAGATGCCCACCAGCTCCTCAACTGGGGGTCTTGGGCCTTAGCGGGGAGGCCAACGGTGTATTGTCAGGGGCGAGCTACTAGCGACGGCCTGCTCAAGCCCAAGGAGATGTTACCGGAATCCGATCAGCTGAAACCAAAGCGGGTGCGTGCGAGTCCATTGTGTTCCGCGAGGAACTCAACTAAACCATGGAAGAAGATGCGTTATGCCTGCGGCGGAAAAACCCACGCGGAGGCGGGGCAGGCGGCACAGGCGGCGGCGGCATATCCAAGGCTGGGCCCGGCATCTCTCGCAAACGCATGAGGTTGGCGTGCACCATGTACGCAGGCGAAATCGTCGTGTCGCAGTCCAAGTTCCAATGGTCGCCATATTGACCCACCCTTGCGGGCTGCCAGAACCAGAACGGCATCTGGTACCATGGTCCAAGGACTTCCTGGGCATTCGCCCACCGACTGCCCAACGAGTATGGATTGAAGCTCGGCTCGTCAAACATCAAGCGGCCCTTGATGTTGAGTACTGCCATACTCCAGCGCCAGTTGGCGCCCCGCTCCTTGCCCACTCGATTATGCAGAACGATTGCGGTCCATTGAAACTTCATCATCTTGGTGGCGGAGATGATTCCGAAGATCGTAGAGAGCGCGAGAACGGCGTAGCTCCATCGAGACAGACCCCGGATGTGCGGCGAAGCCAAAGCCCAAGATACCACGGCGCCGGAGAACACCGAATACAAGAACATGTACGGCATGAACAAGCAGTACTAGATTGAAGAAGAGTTAGAAACAAGCAGTACATGAGGCGTGTGAGACTAGGTACTTACCGGCTTGATCGTTTTCAAGTAAACGGGAACCCATAACCAGAAGCACTTTCGATGGTCAGTCAGATATCGTCTCACAAAACGCCTGAACGAAATATTACAGGGTGGATGATGGAATGGATGATGGAATGGATGAAAACTCACATAATGGTCAAAGACCGGGAGGCAGCAATTGTACCCATGTCGGCAGTGGTACATCCGGTCACCCCTCCAGGCGCCGGCGTTGACACACTGCTCGCCACACCGATTGGGTCGGTTGCCATCCGAACCCAGAAGCTCGAAATCGAATCGGCGCGAGGTACCGAAGGTCGTCTGCATGACCGTCCGAGGGCGCGGCGCCACAGAACCACTCGGCATCCTGTATCCCTTCGCATCAAAGCAGGAGTAGTACCAGCACAGGCCGATACTCCCCGCTGCATTCAGCAAAAGGAACACGTAGACACCGAGTAGACCATAGGCCAGCAACACCTCTTTCGGGGTCCAGGCGAAGAAGAAGGCGGAGGGAGCGCGGCTTAGGATGATCCGGAAGTCTGGATGGGTGTCAGTGATTTCATCGTAGGAGAATTCGGAGGACAGTTGGGAGGAAGAATCAGAGGAAGGTTCGGATGACTTACACAAGACTTCCATCAACACCCACGAGTTGACAAAGAAAGTCCCCACGATGAGGACAGGCAAGGTCCAGAGAAGAACGTGCATGGCCAAAGCCACGTACGTCTCCAGACCGAGCAGGAACGTGATGAAAGCCCGGCGGGCTTCCTCGAAAAACGCCATTGCTTAAAGCAAGACGTTGACGGCGGCGGTGGTGGTGGCGGTGGCGGCGGCAGCAGCAGCAGCAAGAAAAAAGCTCACGAGAAGAAATCTTTAACAAGACGGCAATTGTTTGATCTGAAGAAGATGTTAGTATTGCTGATGAGAGACAGGATGGATGATGGAGTGGGAAAAGACGATGGGCAGAGATGGGCGAGCGAAGCTCTGCTGGCGATGGGGCAACGGGAAAGGAGGGTATTCCGGCATCAGAGAGACGCCTGAAAAGGGAAATGAAGCGTAGAATAGAAAGGCAGATGGGATTTGATGGTGACAGTGATGGAAACACAGGCAAAGGTTGAGGGTATCGTGGGTACATACTGTTCTTCAACTTCGTGAGGCTAAAGAAGAAAAGAGAAGAAAAGAGGAAAAGTGGGAGACGTCTGAGGTGGGTAGATATAGGCCGAGGGGCTGGCTCGAATCACCTCTGGCACTGCTTTGAAAGGCAGGAACGCGTGGGTAGGTGCCTGCCGTCTGTCTCCTTCCTTTGAAGTTGCTGCTGTTTACTTTGCACGCACCTTCCTTCCTTCCCTTCATCTCCAGGCAAAGTGGGATATACGCGTTACGTCACGTCACGTAAGGTAGGCAGACACGAGAGATGGGAAGGCACGTACAAGGAGGAAGGTACGGGGATGGGTAACGCCTCTCTCGTTAAACGAGACGGAAGGGAAGGTGTATAGACGAGACATGAGAATATGAGCAGGTTATGGGACGAGGGAACGAAAGGATGACGATAGTGATTTGCCATACATAGAAAGGCAAAGCAAACCCCTTCCGGTGGAAGCAGGCATTTGCCATCTGCTCCTCCTCCTCCTCCTCCTCCTCCTCCTCCTCCTGCTGCTGCTGCTGCTGCTGCTGCTGATGATGATGATGATGACGATGACCCCCTATGGACTTCCTCCACTAAACGACTAGTTGATCAGATGGACAAACATCAAAGGCAAGAAGTTCCAGATACATCTTTCCTTCAGGTGTTCCAAACCATTTTCTGGCCATAGAATCTCCTCCGTGGCTTGGGGACAGGTTCGATGCTCGTAGCCCCTGAATCGTGATTGCTTTTTTCATCTAGGCACCTAGGAATTCGTTCGGCTTATGGCCTCATGTACAGTAGGAAACCTCAACACCCAAACTCCAGGGCACGATCGATCAAAGAAGGCCATGGCTGTGTTGATGTTACCCAAGAGCCAACGCGAGATTCGCGCTTGATGCACCCGCACGACGTACGCAGGTAGGTACCTACGTACTTGAGTGCGACGGTCAAATATCCAGGAAGGGGGGACTCTTCTCTAAAATAAAAAAGGTTGAACGGAACCAGGCAATCGTTGGACTGCAAAGCTACTTCTCTACGCAAACCTACTGATATCATTCCGAACTCAAGATGCTCCTTACGATGCTCCTTTTCCAAAGACCCGTGGCTTCCTCATGGCCGTCTATCTCCACCTCGCCAGCCTTTCCACTCAAAAGCCCTTTCACCTTCCATGTTGCCGTTGCCGCCGCCTTGTCTTGCCTTTGCTTTTATGATGACATCACATGCTCTTCTTGAAAGACTTGTCACCTTCCTCCAGTCCGGTAAAGCTCCTTCTGTCCATTGCCAGCGAATGTTCTTCAAGACACTCCCCGTCCTTGTCGTTGGCTCCGGCCTGCTTTACTCGATTCTGATGGGGTAAAACAAAAGAGAGTGCGAGTGTTCTTTGTGTATTGCCCAAGAAACAGGCACCTAGGAGGAAGGGATGTGCGTCGGTAACGGCGGCAGGGGCAGTTACTCAACTCCGACATCCAAGGCGTTGGCCGACAACTAACTAAGTCGCAAACCGTTGGCGCGGATTGTGTACGTTGGCGAAACGGTCATGTCCTTGATGCTTAAATGATGGCCATATTGGCCTAAGCGGGCGGGCTGCCAGAGGCATTCTTCGTCAACTGGCTGGAGAGTCCGGGGATGCTTCGCCTGGCTATTTCCGGCGAGCTTTTCTTCTGGACACTGCCTATCCTCTTCTTCAGCCATCGTTGAATTCTTTGTTTAAACAATGGCATTCATGGATATCTTTCGGACATTCACTATCTGGGTCCTGGGCCTCAAGAAGCTTCGTCTAGCCGTCGCTCAGGAGACGTTTCTTTTTCGCTAGATATCCGCCTTGTTGGTGGATGCTCTGTCTTCACTCGTGGTTTATCCAGCAAGGAAACATATTAGATCTCTGATTAGATCTCTGATTGGTCTGGAGGGGAGCCTCCTGGCTGCCGCTGCCGCCACCGCAGCCTTTGCCTCTAACAATAATGCTCCTGGATCTCGTTCAAAGACTTCTTCATATCAAACAGTTACCATCTCGTCTGTGCTTTCTTCCCCTCTTCTTAGAGTACCTATCGCCCGACACCCGTTCTGTGAGTCTCACTAGGCCTTGCCCCTCCTGAGAGTGGCCTGGATCTCACCCACGACCGCGGCAGTAACCTCCTTCGTCGTCGCCTTGCCGCCGAGGTCAGCAGTCATGATGCCCCTTCCCGTGACGCTCTCGACGCACTCCATCAGCTGCGCCGCCGCCCCCTTCTCGCCGAGCCACTCGAGCATCTCCGCCGCCGTCCAGAAGGTTGCCACTGGGTTCGCCACGCCCTTTCCCGTAATGTCGAACGCCGACCCGTGGATGGGCTCAAACATCGAAGGGTTCCCGCGCGTGGGGTCGAGGTTGCTCGTTGGCGCGATCCCGATGGACCCGGCAAGCGCAGCGGCCAGATCGGAAAGAATGTCAGCGTGCTGGGACACCGCACACCTATCAGCTTCCCGAGTCGATACGGCAGGATGGAAGCAAGACCACAGCACTTACCAGGTTAGTCGCGACGATGGTGTCGAGGCTCTTGGGGTCGAGCACCATCCGCGTCGTCATTGCGTCGACAAGCATCTTGTCGAGCGTAATGTCGGGAAAGTCCTTGGCCACCTCGTAGACGACCTCATCCCAGAGCACCATCCCGTTGCGCTGCGCGTTGCTCTTGGTCACGAATGTCAGGAGCTTGCGCGGGCGGCTGCGGGCGGTCTCGAACGCGAAGCGAATGAGACGCTCAACGCCGTGGCGCGTGAAAATGGACACTTCGGTGGCAGTCTCCCAGGGCAGCCCCCTGTGCGACCGCCCACCCTGGCCTGCGTACTCGCCCTCGCTGTTCTCACGGATGATGACCCAGTCCAGGTCGCCCTCGGCACAGTTTCGCAGGGGCGACTGGGTGCCGCGAAGGACACGCGTGGGCCGCACATTGGCGTACTGCTGGAAAGATTGGCAAATAGCCAGACGAAGGCCCCAGAGCGAGATATGGTCGGGGACGTCTGCCTTCTCCGTTAGCGTCGCACGTTGTTGTACGGTATTCACTATGTTGGTGGGAGGTTCATCATACCGGGAGCACCAACGGCTCCGAAGAGGATGGCGTCGTGCTTCTTGAGCTGCTCGAGACCGCCGTCCGGGATATACTTGCCCGTCTTCTTGTACGTCTCGGAGCTCCAGTCGTAGTCGGTGAAGTCCAACTCGAACGTGCCTAAGGTGTCGGCAAGCGCCTTGAGGACCTCGACACCGGCCTCGATGACCTCCGGGCCGATGCCATCAGCTCCCATGGAGGCGATTCTGTACACCCTCTGGGCGGGAAGCGCGCTGGGAGACATTTCAATTTGTGACGAGCGGTGTTCCGGGGGGGTTGCTATCTCGAGGTAATGTCTAGGGTGATGAGAGGGATTACGGTGAAAGGGTTGCGTCTTCCTTTTGAAATTCAAAGATGTGTTCTGATTGTGGCACTGGCCGTGTTTGTAAAGTATCCGATATGTCAGCCAAGATGAAGTGTCTTCTCTTGTAATTGTCCAAGTCTCGCCATCACGGCTAGATGTCCGTCTCCAGCGCGGGCCACGCTGCAGGCATCGGGAGTTTGGGGTTGGGGCTTTCCGCTGGTGGAGGCGGTGTTGACTTTGTCCGCCAACCAAGACGCACCCGCGGCCAAAGCCAATCCCGCTGCACATCATTTCGCAACCTTGCACAAGGTAAGTTGAGCAGACAACTACATCAATTCCATCAAGTTAACCGACAAGCTGATATATCGTAGGAGAATTCAGACAAAAGTTTCGAAGAGGAGTCAGACAAAGGTTTGGATGGGTTATGCAAGACTTGTTCGATGAACCCTCCAGCCAGTTGAGAAGAAAATCCCCGGTTCTAGCAGCCCGCCCGGGTGGGCCAGTATGGCCACCATTTGAACTTGGATTGCGGCACAACCATTTCACCTGCGTACATGTCTGCAACAACCGTTGCGGCTTCGATACATGTCATCCAACGCCTTGGATATCGGGGTCTTGACCGAGTTACTAAAGCTGCAACCGCCGCCGACTCTGGCTTCACGTATGTTCCCCCACTGCTGGCATAATCCGTCTGATTTGGTTTAGTCAATTGCGTATTCCCGACGGAACATACACAGGACACTCGCACGGACAGAAGAAACAATCAAAGGCAACAGCCAGAAGAAGCATTACCGAAGCCTCCAGCTAATTGACGGATCTCCGGCAGAGATTCATGAAAGTCATTGTAAAGGATCGAAGGCGGCAGCTGTGGCGGAGGTGGCGGTTGCGGAAGATAGTAGGCGCCAAGAACAACCAGAGATCCTATACGTTGCCTCGCTGACACGTTTTCCAGGTACACGCACTTGAGTCCCCGTCGACCGGGAGGTCCTGATCTTCGAAGGCTGGTGACTTGGCTTCCAGCCCCTCTCAGATGCCGAAGTCAAGCAGGAATAGTTAAAGGTAACAAAGCAAGCCAGCGCCAACGCCCCCGAAAACTCTCAACTCCCCACAGCGACGCTGACGAGCCACGCCTTAGATTTTCTCGTCAACAACAAGAGCCTGCAACAGTACTGCGAGATCTTTATGGGCCCATGGACTCGGCACGAATAGGTTGATCAACCGGGTCCCCGCGTCACCCGCAGTCTTATCTCAAGCACCTCGGCAGCTTCTTGCTCCGCTGGATCTAGTATGAGTCCGGGGAAACAGAGATTCTGGTCGTTGTTCGAAGACACTTCAGAGTAGAGCAGAGACAACCAGGGGTCGTATCGCAAAGGTTTCGGCCAGTCATGAAAGGGCAAAGGTAACGACACGGTCTATGGCCGTCAGATACTGAGACCCGTCAGATTTCTGGTACTGCAGTGCAGGGAATCCAAGGTTAGGATTTGAGCGAGACTGAAGTATGATATAGAAACATTCTGGAGGTGACATACCAGGTGCTCGGCGTATGTGCACAAAGCATTAGCGACGAACATAGCAGATAACGAAGCCGCGAACGGTAGGCAAGAAGTTTTGGAGGATGGAGAGCAGGTAGGTGACGCCCGGGTAGAAGGAGGCTCTCGGCGACGCCGGAGAGAAAGCGGACGACAACGAGGTGGGCGTAGGTCCGGGCAAGGGAGGGGTAAGCGGAGACGATGGCCCAGAGAATCATGCAAACGTCCATGTCAACGGAGGGACGGACGAGTGACTTGGGGGCCCGGTGGCTGGATATGGAGTTCAGACCTTTGGTGGAAAGGAGACGCAGGGAGGATTGAGCAGGGCCAGAGAAAGGTCCGGATGACTCACACGAGACGTCTTTGATAAATATCCACGAGTTAAGAGAAAACATCCCCACGGGATTGGGTAATGACCAGAGAAACGCCTCTTGGGCAACAGCCAGACGACGTCTGTCAGTGCCCAGAGCCCAGACAGCGAATCCCCGGAAGAGATTCATAAACACCATGATTTAGAAACAGCGTGAAGCAACGGCTGCAGTAGCGATAAAAGTCTCACGAGAAGAGAGTTCAACAAGATGGCAACTGTCTGATCTGAATAAGTCTCTGAACGCGATCCATGGACATGCATCGTGATATTCATGGACTGGGTAATCTGGGCTAGACCTTCATCTCTACCTACACCGCCCTCGTCTTCGTCTTCCGGGTACGCCTTTTATCTATCGACGATTACGAGCTTTTGCCTTATTTCAGGTAGGACCACATAGGGTCCACCGAGGAATCGAACTGCGCCGCCGCCAAGAACGGGTAGTCGAGGGCGGCGAACGAATTGGCAAACAGCTGATCATACCAGACCATGGACTCCTGCCCCTCTCCGGGGATAGTTTCGGTCACGTCGATAGACGGCGAGGGAAACGAAGCCGCGGCTGATGAGATAGAAAACGGTTGGGCGTCGAAGCTAGATGAGTCTTGCCGAGCCGCCGACTGGAACCAAGATTGGCCTCCGGGCGTGCTGGCTGTCCCTCTCGGGTTAGCCGGCGTATCCGGTGTCGGCGACGTCTGCGCGGGCCGCCGTGAAGACTTGCCATTCGCCGTTGACGCCCCGTCGCTTTGGATTTGCCGGGGCCACCTGGTGCTGTCGTGGCTGACGAGGCCTTGTTTATCCGGCCGACCCGTAGACACAGCAACGGATGGAGAAAACCGGGCGCGCGGGTGAGAATTCCTGGGTCTGTCCGAACTGCTGCTGGGTGGCGCTGATCGCCCAGCGTCGTGGTGCAGGTGGCCGCTTGACATAGGGGTACCCGTGCTTGGGTGCTGGCGAAGCGGATTTGGTGGAATAGACAGCTCGCGCACAGCGGCGGTGAGCTCGTCAATGACAGAGAGGCAGTATTCGGGCCATGAGGTGTCTCGGGAAGCGATGTGACGCAGTATTTGCTTGCCGGACTCGACGTGTCTGCGGAAGATGGATTTAGACTTGGTACCCACCTTTGAGAAGAAGAATAAAAGAAAAGGAAAGGAAAAGAAAGGGGATACATACTTGAGAGCACTTCCCAAAGGCAGTTGCCTTTCAAAGGCAGCGTATATCAAAATGAAAGCGCTGATCCAGACAGCCCATGTGAAAGAGGGTTGAAGCATGGGCTCGAGTAAACACGGACTCGTTGGCTCAGTCGGGATCCCGTTCTGGCTTTGATACTTCTTCAGCGCAATGAAGATGGACTTGGCCGCGAATATGCAATTCTGCAAGCCGGTCGAGTAGGCCGGGCTCGAGGGGTCGGAAGTCATCATCGGTCTGTTGAGAGAGATCATGGATTCGTACTTCAAGACTAATAGAAACAGTCTATGGCCCGAGGATATGGGCGGCGGGGAAGCACTCTCTTCATACGCTACTTCGTCTTCGACCGCGTCGTGAATCTCATTGGACCACTTAGCCAGCTCGGCCTGGACATAGCTCGCGCGTTCCGCGGTGTCATCCCTGGAGTGGATCGACTTGTTTCTCAGCTCCAGGATAAGGCCTCGTATCCGGGCGTGCTTCACATGGTACGTAAGCAGCTGCAGTCGGCCGTCCTCGCTTTCGTCGGAGGGAGCGCCGTGTCTCTCTTGGCTGGGATAGCAGACATCGACGTCATCGTCTCGTATGTCGAGTGGGAGACCGAGCGCCTGGCAGAGAAACCTCTCGATGCAGTAGATACACCAGAACACTCGTCGGCGCATGCGGGCCACCTCCTTGGTGAAGAACGGGTATCTCGAAGGACATCGGTGGAGCCCGAGGTGAAATGCCATTCTCACAATCAGCCCACCAAGTCGGGATGCCGAATTCAGTCGAAGCATGGAGACGAGGAATAGCTGGATGGCTAACGCGGCCTGGGTGGCCTGAATCGACGCCGGCTGGCAGAGGGCAAACTGCGAGGCTAACATGGCCTCCTCCACGGTTCGGAAGACGAGGTAGCTCGGCACTAGTTGAGCAAAGGGAGCCCTCTGGCGACTGTCCGCCAGGGAAATGGATAGTATGGCCTTGACAATAGATCGTTCTAGGTGGCCAAGGGAAGCCACGCCAGCCGCACTGACTTTCTCGAAGAGACCCAGGACATCCGGGGCACTGAGAAAGGGGAGAGTCGGATGCCAGGCTTCGAAATAGCTCTTGGACCAGTCGACAAGCTGCTCGAACGGAGGAGGGTCAGCGGCGTCCTGAAGCAGCTCATGAGCTCGCCAGAGATTCTGCTCGTCACCGTCGCGAGACGAGGCGTCAGAACGCAACTGGTCATCCTCGCCCGGGACCAGGTCGTTGATGCTGTTGGACTGGGACGTCCTGAGAGCAGACTTGCGGGCAAGCCTGACGTAGACGCTGCGGATGAAGTGAATGCCACTGCCGCTGCCGACGAAGCGAGAGGTGTCATGTCTGCCCGTGTCACGCATCAGGCCATACTCGCGGGTAGGGCGGTCGTCCGTGGACCCCGAGTGCTTCCGCTTGCGCGAGTGGTGGGCGAAGTGCGCCGGGCTGAGGGTTCCGGACTCGGACGTAGCATTGGGCGACTCTGCAGCGTCCATTCGAGGAGAGAGAAAGGAGAGAAGGACCCGGGATAGTCAGATAGTGCCGCATTCAATGGACGGCTCGAGGAACGGCGGGGGTCTGAAGCATGGTGTGAAGAGTCGAGAGGTCGGTCAAGGCAGTCAAAATGCCTTAGGGACAAAAGAACATCTAGGAGGAGGGAGTGGCTCCGTGAAACGACTCGTTAGAAGCTGTGTGTGAATTCGAATGGCAAGAATGGGATCAGATCGATCAACATGGCGAACATCAGAAATGTTTGAAGATGTTGCTGTAAGAAAAGAGGCGGCGACACAATTGAATTCGGGGGAAAGAGCGACGTCGGCCGAAAGTGGGGCCCTTCGAGGCGACACCTTCCGGAAAGTGTTGGCTCTGCGGACAAACAAAACTCCGCGCGTTGCGTTGCTCATGTACTTTTTGGTTTTTTGTTCCTCATCGCCGCCGTAGACCGTGAGCCAAGATCAATACGATGGTTTTGGTGGCTCTCCTGATCCCATACAGATAGCATCCATCCGTCATTTCAAAGCCTGGAATCCACTTGTTCCGTAATGTTACGAGATGGTGGTGACAGGGGCGATGGCGACGCCATGCAAAGCCCGATCGCCTGCGAGTCTTGTCGACAGAGGAAACGAAGGGTCAGTTCAGCTCGTCTCGCCGTCTTCAGACCGATCTCATTATACCAGTTTGCTAATGCGTTTAAAGTGTGACAGAAAGCTGTAAGTAGCTCTGCTGCCCTCTTGCATTAGAAGCTCACCTCCCCTTCCCCGCAGACCTTTCTGTCTCCAATGCAGCCATGAACCGGGGAGATGCCAGTATCCAGAGCAAAGCAAGAGGTAGGCGCTCAATTTTCCTCCTCGTTACGTGGTTTAGGCTCACCGATTGCGTGAAGAGGTATCCCCAATGGCTACCTCAACAAGCTCGAGACCCGACTCGCCGAGACTGAAGCTGCCCTGTTTAGGGCCCTATCGGGGGTCCTGGATAGCCCAGGATCTGGTTCGGCATCCTCTCCCGTGCTCCTCCCGCAGGCAGCGTGGACACCGAGGCAGAACAAAGTCGACCGGGTCAAAGAGTGGGAACTTCTCCCTCTGCAGACCCCCAATGAAATTGAAGCTTGGTTCCGCTCAAAGGCCGCGGAACAGAGCGACCCCGTCCCCGAACCCCCCGACGCCAGCCCTCAGTCCCCGGTCTCGTCCGTGTCAGACTCCGTGCTTGCGCCGCACCCCGTGAGAGATTCGGACTCGATGCCGGCTCAACGGCCGCTCTTGGATGCAGTTATTGAGCCTCGACTCAGGTCCATGACACCAATCGCCACAACCCCGGTAAATGAGGTGCCATCAGACAGCGTCAGCAAGGCCAAGGAATTGTCAAAGTCCCAGAGGAATCTTTACTTCTGAAAATAAACTCGACCTGGTACATTCGGAGGGGAGGACCCGGGATATGTGCAGTAAAACCCCAACCCATGGCCCGTACGCAAACAGCGGAATGCCATGCCCGTTCGCCTACTCGCGGCTTTGCTTTGCTCCCCTACGCCACGGCCCCGAACTACCCCGCAGTGAGCATTCCATATTCCGCAGCGGCCCGGTTTCCACTACTATCCGCTCGGTTTGCTGCGGAATTACGGAACGTTCACAGCTCCCAAAACGCGAATGACCTCAGACTGAGTCCCTGAGTGCCCACGAAAGCTACCTGAGCGCATAACCAAGGATCTGTTCCCATCAGTCTTTTTCTTGTTTTGTTTTGTTTTATTTTACGCCATCACCCAAACCAAGCGCAATTGTCAACCGAATTCCGCCCGTCACAATGTCAAGCTCGCAATCCTGGGTTCCCGTATCCCCCACGAGCCACTTCTCGCTGGCCAACATCCCCTTCGGCATCATCTCCTCAAAGTCGGACCCGACTCATCGGCCCGCGGTCGCCATTGGAGACCATGCCCTGGATCTCAAAGCCTTCGCAAACGCTGGCGGCTTCGATGCCCTGCCCTCGATCCACAAGCACATCTCCGTCTTCTCCTCGCCAACACTGAACGAGTTCGCCGCCCTGGACCGGCCCGTCCACCGCCAAGTGCGGGCGTATCTTCAGTCCGTCCTCAGCGACAGCACCCCGCACGCCGGCCTGCTCAAGGACAACGCCGACATGCGCCAGGCGGCCATTCTCCCCTTCTCCGAGGTCCGGAACCACCTGCCCATGGCCATTGGCGATTACACCGACTTCTACGCCGGCAAGAACCACGCGTACAACGTAGGCGTCCTCTTTCGCGGCCCGGACAACGCCCTGCAGCCAAACTACGTGCACCTCCCCGTCGCCTACCACGGCCGCGCCAGCAGCGTCGTCGTCTCTGGCACGCCCATCCGCCGGCCCTGGGGTCAGATTCTTAGGGACCCCAAGGCCGAGCCCAAGGTACCCGCACTCGCGCCCTGCGAGAGGCTCGACATCGAACTCGAGTTGGGCATGTTTGTGTGCCGCGAAAACAATCTCGGCGAGCCTGTTCCGGTCGATCAGGCCGAGGAGCACATTTTTGGCTACGTGCTCATGAACGACTGGAGCGCCCGCGACATCCAGGCTTGGGAGTACGTCCCCCTGGGTCCTTTCACCTCAAAGAACCTCGGCACAAGCATCAGCCCTTGGGTCGTGCTCGCCGACGCCCTCGCCGGGGCAAAGACAGCCGGCCTCGAGAACAAGACGGAGCTGCTGCCCTACCTCCGCGAGAGCAGGAAAGACAATACCCTTGACATCGAGCTGGAAGTCGAAATCATCAGTAAGGCCACCCTCAACCAACCTTCCCCCCAACTTTCCGGCCGTATTGCAAGAATGCGAGTACTAACACAGCAAACTCTCCAGCCGCCAGCGGGAACAAGACGACGCTCAGCCGCACCAACTCCAAGAACCTGCTCTGGTCGTGGCCGCAGATGATTGCGCACCACACCATCACCGGCTGCAACTTGCGACCAGGCGACATGTTTGGTTCGGGGACCATCTCGGGCGCCGATCCCGGCACCGAAGGCAGCATCCTCGAACAGACAAAGGGAGGCAAGCAGGCCGTGAAGCTCAACGGAGGAGAGGAGAGGAAGTTCCTCCAGGACGGAGACACGGTAATCATCCGCGGCTGGAGCGGGCAGAAGGGCGCGATCGTCGGGTTCGGCGAAGTATCTGGCCAGATTGAAGCCCCCTTGAAGCTTTTCTAGTCGCTTAGCAAAAAAGGAGGATGCTCATGTAGTAAAGAAGGTAAAGAGCGCTGGATTCAAATGCCATGAATCGCATCGCCAAATATGGCGGGCCAAGAAATGCTACTGTTCTAGATCTCTACTTGATCCTAAGCTCCTCGGGAGTATCGGGCTGGTTGTGATAATTCGCCTTGATCACTGCAGGATGATCCTTCAAACCGTCCACGATCTCCCTGATCGTAGGATAGCCACTCAAATCCACGCCGAACCTCTCAGCGTTCCAGTAAGCCGGCAACAGACACGCATCAGCCAGGGAGATCTCGTCGCCAACGGAATAACGCCCCGCCCACTCCTGGGCGACAGCCTCGTACGCTGCGAGCCCGTCCGCCATGAGCTCGCGGTTCCACTGCTCCGCATCTCCGCCGAGCGCCCGCACGCGTCGCATGATACGGAGATTGGTCACGGGCTGGACGTCGCAGGCGATGATGTCCACCAGGCTGCGGACCACGGCGCGGGCCTTGGGGTCCCTGGGAAGCAGGGGCGTCGACGAAGGGTGGGTCTCCTCGAGGTACTCGAGCGCCGCGACGGATTGAGTGACCCTGAAGTTTGCGGCAGCGCAGTGGACGAGAAGGGGGACGCTGGCGGATGGGTTGAGGGCGCGGTGAGCCGGGGCGAGGTGTTCGTTCTTGAGGAGGTTGGTGGGGATCGTGGTGTAAGGGATGGACTTAAGGTTAAGGGCGATACGGAGGCGCGCGGAGCAGGAGGACCGGAAGTAGGAGTATAGGATATACTCTGAGTCGGCCATTATAGATTCCGGATGCCACTCTTGACTAGTATCATTGACCAAGTACAAGAACCGCCAGCCAAGGGTTCAAAGACGTGATTTGGACAGGAAGCCCGTTTTGTATCAGTAGACCGCTGGCCAAGACTCAGTTGATTTCATGGTAACCCCGTCCTTCCGTGTATTCTAGCCGGAACTTGATCTTCTCTACCATGCCTTGTGACACGAAATGTGACACGAAAGGGTGCAGAACTTCCGCTCCTAACCTTTGTCTGCCGAAGGAGAGAGTGTTCGGGCTTGGAGGCCCATGCATACGCCCCAAGAGGATCATGCGGGGAAGACGGCTCTCGACGGCGTAAAGGTTGAGAGTTTCGGGGGGTCGGAGTTGCTATCAATTGCAGTTGATGATTGGTTGTCATTCAAATTCTCATCTTAGGTCATGACTTCAGTCCCCCGGTGCGGAACTGCGGAAGCCCGCCAGTTTCGCCAGACCACAACACTTGAGAGTCTCTGTTCCCCCATGGTCATCTCGCACCGGCATTCGTGGTCTAGAGGATTTTGAGAAGAGGACGACCGAACCGAAAGGACAGGCCTGCCGGGAGTTCGTCCCGTGATGGCTCGAATCTCGAATATAAGGCAGACACGCCCAGCCCACACTCGAGATTTTGAACTAGACATGACTGTGCGCGAATACTATATTTCTCTTGTAATGTCATGATACTGTGTCTATCACACCAATCTTGTTGTATGTTGTGCCCCCAATCCACTCCCATTCCACGATCTCAACCCTGTCGTCACTCCTCTGTACGAGGCCGTAGACTCTACCAGCCAGGTTAGCAGCTATCTTGAATGGCCTGTCGTCACCCGACATGGTCGAAATCTCCCCCGCATTCGACCATTCCCCTTCGACATACGTCGTCAGCACCGGCGCCTTGTTCGTTTGTGTTGCCAAGACGTGCATGACGAGATTAGTGTTGTTGTAACCGCTCGAGAAGGCCGCGATTGTAGCATCGGGTTCGAGCGTCGTGGGCAACGTGTTGTTGCTCCAGTCATTGTCGTTCGTGAGGGTCAAGTGAGTAAGTGAGCCCGACTCGGTAGTATAGAAGAGGCTCATTCTTTTGGTCGGCTCTGTTGTGTAGACGGGGATCAAGGATAACCCGGTGCCTTCCGCGGGCTTGCCAAAGTCCGTGGAGATGCCCACGGCTACCCAATCCGTCTTTCCGCCGGTTCGTCGGAGCACGCGAAGAGTACTGCCCGCGTCTTGGTAGATGACCAAGTTAGAGAGGTATGAGTCGGCGCTGTATATGCCGTTGGAGAGCAATTGTGACTTGGGGCTTGCTGTAAACGTCTCTGAGACTCCGGACTTATCCCAAGTCATGCTGTAGACCGGGTTGCCATTGATCTGGCCAGCGACCTGGTTGTCGTCGTTCAGGTAGTAGATGCGGATGTCGCGGGTCTGCGATGAATGAGGTTAGGCAACGATAGCCAGGAGGTCCGGGTCGCGACAGGAACTTACGGTATTACTATGCCAGAACAAGCTATTGCTGATTGGGGTGCCCGGCTTGATATTGCTGTCCTTATTCGCGACGCTCGAGGACCAGACTTTTGTGCTCGAATTCCACGACGCCATCATCAGGTTGTTCGAGCGAGCCTGGTAGAACACCAGATGGTTGACATAGCCATACGAGTCGGTAAAATTGAGGGCTCCGAGGTTCGTGTTGGGGAGTATGTCCATGTTGCTCGTCGTGGAGTTGTTCGAGTCGCCATTGCTTCCGTCGCCTCCGCTGCCATTGCCGCTCCCGCTTCCACTTCCGTTTCCACTCCCGCTTCCGCTATCGCTTGGGCCTCCTGACGAGCTGCTCGATTGTTGCGAGCTGTTCTGTGCAGACATTGCGCCGCCGACGCCTCCTCCTACAGCTGCGCCAATAATGATGACAAGCACGGCAGCCAGAACAATCCAGAACACCTTCTTCCGGAGGCCGCATATCGTGCCGGGCTGCTTCTTCTCATAAGTGTCCTCATAAGTCTTCTCCGTCACAACCTCAGGCGGGGTTTGATCTTTCGGCGCGTAGTATCCGGTCTCGTAGGAGCCCCCATTCTGGTATGTTGCCGCGGGGCTGCCGTCCATCGTATGGACGGGCTGCATCATGGAGTAATCGTGGCCATACTGATGGGTGACTTCTGGGAACTGGCCGTTGTGGTTGCGAACTTCGGGCAGGCTGTTCTGGTCCGCTACACGGTCATTCACGACGTCCCCCGCGCCCCATCTACCCCCATGACCTGGCCTCTCATCGACCTCGAGGCCGCTGTAGTACCCCGGAGCCGCATTGTTGTTCAAGTGCGCCATGTTGAGGCGCTCATAGGCCGGTCAAGGAGCGAAACTCGTACCGGAATGAAGAGCGAAAATGGGCACACGGGGATATGAAGACCTAAAGAAGTAGCCCACTCATCGAGAGCACAAGACTTCTATGTACCTACATCAGGCTGCAGCATGTACGCTGTGGATGCTTCGCTTCTTGGCCTCTCAGGATCGCGCTTCAGAGGCGCCAAGCGTTGGCAGTGGAGATTAAGGGACAATTATGCCAACATCCCTGTTCGGGACGGCTGTTCATTTCCTACTCTGGATAAGCGCTGACCGGGTTAATCGTTGATGGATCAAAACCCGCGAATGGTCTCCCTGTCAGTGAGATAGCTGCGGCTGTGACGACCATAACTTAAATAGCAGGAGAGGGTCATTGGTCGCCCTGTCAAGAGATCCGGTATACCTATGAGACGGCTTATGGGGGCCTTGGGCGACTATCCATCAATCAACCCATTCAGCATTTGATCGGTGCCTAGTGTAATATTTTCATCACATCTGTAATGTTGGTTCTGTGAGCACCCAGGTCAAGAGCACCCAGGTCAAGACTCGTAAACTCGAGATGCGTCTTGAGGAAGCCTTATTGTAATATCTTGTCTGCAATGGTCACCTCTTCGATGTGGCGAGAGGGTGACGGGCTCTAGGGCTGGAGACCAACATGGCCAGCATTTCCAATCAACAAGAATATTTGCTGGTAGATTCCCACGCAATCCAGCAACCCGGCTGGCAATCGTCGGCCTTGCCTCATCCGACAGGACGTCGTTGACACGGAATAGGTCCCCGGTCCTGGAAGCAAGATCCTTGCTGGCTCTCCGGCGAGGCCCGCGGCGGCACGTAGCGGGCCAGCCCGCAAAGCACGACCGGTGTCACGAGCCGGTTCCACAATCCAGATTACGAGTAACTTGGATCATGATGCGGCCTGTTTGTGTGCGGGTGCTGTTGACTTGGACAGCTGACTTTCCATTCTTAAGATGCAGCATAATCACCGCTTTCGTACACGAATGTTCTCCTCTTCTTTCTACATCAGAACATAGGCCTAAGGTGTGAACTGCTCTTGAGCTTCACAGCCGACTGGGACATTAACGGCATCAGCATAGTTATGAAGAGTGCATTGAATTTAGCGTACGTATATTTCAACTTAGGATGGGAAACAAGTGTCAAATCTAGACCAGTTGGCAACAGGAACATTGCAACAATCCAGTTAGCGCCTACTATCGTTGATTGATTGTTTTGGTGAAGACAATGCGGTCAAAGTTTCACTTCGAGCTGTGCTTATCTGGGATTAGTTATTATTTGCAGCAAGGCCGTTCGGAATGAACAGAAGCATAGCAGCAGAATCACGTTCCAATAGCCTTGCATTCTCTACCCAATTGTCATCCTCATTCGTATTATGCTTCTAAGATATACGCCGAGGTTGATCGCGTGCTGGTGAAACCTGGCTGCGTTGTCCAATGAAAATATCTCAAGATTTTACACCCCGTTCTGACTGAAATACACAACCACTCACTTTGCTTCACAGTGCTTCAGGAAGATACTTCAGGCCTTATATCTGAACCGGTCCCGATTAAGCTTCCTTTTTCCGTATATGGCAGATGGATGTACTGTCTCCTCCAAATCCATCCTTCTGTTGTGCAGAACAATATATGACCACGTACCCGAGAGAAGTACAAACGCGATGATGACCAGTATCATACTGATGGTCATCCCACGTTGATAAAAAGGCCCCTCGCTGGTCCTGAAGATCCAAGCTGAGATATAGCTAGAAGTATTTCCAACCCCGATCACGAAACCACTTCCAATTGCTCGTTGAAACGGCGTCCGCAGGTTTTGCATGGTGAGGATCCAGATCATCGGAAGGGTGATGTAGGTACCGAAAGCGATGAAGTAGAGAGCCATCATGGTGACACTCGAACTCTCATGCTCATTTTTGCGCAAGATGGCGTAGCCGATGATTGTAAAGACAAACCCCACCAGGCCGAAGGCAGAGCGATGGTTGAGACGGTCAGCGGCATAGGCCGTCGACAAACAGGCAAATGCGGCCACCACGAAAATCGGAACGATCTGAGCCTGTATCTCCGTGGCATCCAGCTCTGGGCGGAATGACTTGACGAAAGACGGCGAGAAGATGGATACCGAATAGGCCGTTGTAGTTGTGAAGCAGTAAAGAGCTGCCCAGCAGTAGTTCAGTGGGTTCGAAAGAAATAGCTTCCACTCCGCCAATGCACCAATACTGGTTGTGCGACTTTCCACGGAACTCGCTATGATTCTTTTCTCCTCTTCCGTCAAGAATTTCGCCTTATTCGGGGGCCCGACATTTGACACCGAGCATAGACAAGCAGCGACAACCGTGATGATGCCTTCGATGATGAAAATCCTGGTTGCATTAGAAAAGAAGGCGCAGTTTGTGTCACAATCCGAGAACGTACCATCTCCAACCTTTGAAGTTGTCGGTTATCTTGATGTTTGCGATGGCATACGCCAGGAAATTGCCAGCGATGTTTGAACATATATTGGCCACGGTGATGAGACCAAGCCTCCACTGAAGGTGAGTCGGAGGGTAATATAGTGAACAGAGGAAGACGCAACCGGGTATCAACCCTGCGTCAAAAACGCCAACAAGGAAACGTGTGGCAAGTATCTGATCAAATGTTTTAACAAAGCCTTGTCCGATCGTGATGACCCCTGTCTCTGTGTAAGAGGTCGTGCATAATACAGCCACTGAAGACGCGGATTTGACAGTAAATACATACCGAGCAAGACATCCAAGAGACACATATACCACATGTAATGGAAGTTGAATCTTCGGTCCAGAAACCGCATCAGGAGATTACTGGGGACCTCGAATAAAATCAACGGGACCGCGGGCATGGTCAGCACGATGAAAACCTTCATCGCGTCAAGCTTGAGATCTTGGGGCAGCTGGCGAATGAGAGCGGCCCCAATGTTCGTTCTTCCCATGAGCGACAAGAAGTTGAGAAAGAACATCGCAACCATCAGCTTCATGTCCAACTTGTACAAAAGCTTCTGGTCGAAGGTCTTTCCGCCAATTGACGGTCCATACAACTCGCTCTGGGCGAAGCCGCTTTTCGAGTCGCTCAGCGGCTCGGCTGCGCCCGTCACCTTGGCATCGTCGTCGCCAAATTTTGACATTTCGGAATTCCTCTTCGTTTGTTCCCGCTGAAGCTCTAACGAATCTGACATTACCGGCCTACTGCTGTGAATGGAGCTTGTGGCAGGTATTAACTGGGCTGACAGGGTGCGTCGGGAATCATGCCAAGCTCAACCGGTTGCGGTTACGATGGGAATAGAGGGGTCTGGAGCGCAGAATTATCCTTAGGTCTGATCTCAAGATGATCGATCAACCGGTGCGAGGGAAATTTCGCCGGAGGCAATATGACTTTGTTCTTCCCCTCAATGTCCGTCCGTGGGTTCCGTATTCAATGAATGTTATTTACACTCGGAACTTTAAAGCCAGTAACTACCGGTAGTGCAGGTTGGTGGGATAAATATGTCAAACATCTCAAATGTCAGATGAACTCTGAGTTTGGGCCAATAAGTAATCATTCACACCGGAATCTTCCGGTACATAGTGAAGAAGAGAAGGGAGAGGGTTGCTCAGTGGCATCTGGACTGTCACACAATACCTGCTCCTCGGACAGTCTGGTCTGTGAGTGCCACAGGATTCATATCGAAGAACATGTAAGAATACATTTGTGTCGCGAAAACGACGCCGTTAATCGCAAGCAGCAATTAACTCCTTATGTGGTGTACACTACGACAATTTGAAAGATAAGGAAGTAGGAAATTGAGTGCAAGAAAGATTGGGCTGGATCTGGGACTGAGACATTGTACTTGTGATATCATCCGATCGTCGGCTTTGGCCTCGGCGCTCAGTCCTTGCGGAGAACAAAGGTAACACTGACACGGTTTCTGACACAAAAGCGATAGCGAACTGCATTAGGTTTTCTACCCTCACGGCCCCGCCTTCAGACAGCCAATGATGTATTGCTTCTATGTTGAGTACGGAGTAAGATTGTCGATCTTCCGCAACTGTTCTCACATGGTTCGGAAGGGGAGCAAGGCGCTGTTATAGCAGAATGAGACGCACGAGCCGGCCAATCTGCCGCTTGAGGTACTATCAGACAGATTGAACGCCAAGCCCGTTTAAAACTCAGAACTGACTACTTCGAAGTTCGTTTAATGTTGTTATCATTATTTCCGCCATAGAACAACGGTACCGGCATCCTCGGACCGACGACATAAGACCCAGTCCGCAGCATTGAATTCGTTACATGGTACTCCGTAGATACATGGAAAACGAGGAACTTGAATATATAGCCTATTGAGCTAGTTACTGGGCGGGATATATGACTCGGTCATGTTTAGTTATTGGCTATTTTTTACCTCTTCTCTTTCTTGAACTGTGAATCCTACATCATGCTACATTCATGCTAATAACCCAGGAAGATGCTAGTTTCCACTCTAGACCCTCTGATAGGACTCTTTGAAGTGTCGAGAACTCCTTTTGGTCCTTAAGCTTTTTTTGTCAACGAATCAGTAAGTTCTCACTGCTCTGACCGCAGTACAACAGGCATTTGGGTGATGTAAAGGATGCGGCGGGTCTTCAAGAATGCATAAAACCCAAGTTATGGAAATAATAACGTGATAAGTGAGTCGCTGAATCGCCGAGTATCGGATGTCCTTCCGTTGCCGCGAGGGAGAGCCCATCGTGTAGCGGAACCGAATGCATACAAATGCACAGTCTTTTGTGGTAAAACGACAATGTCGCTTGGTCCGGCGCAGCAGGTTGTCAGTCCAGATGATAGTTTCCATACAAGTGACCAGCCCACGTTGCGCCGTTGTTCTCTTTTGCGGTTGCTCAAGAATCTTAAGCCTTATTAGTTGATACATGGGCTAAGAAGGTGATATTGCTGAGTATACAAGTTGGGCTGGCCAGGTGCGGACTCCTCGATACACAAGTAACATTTCAAAGAGTGACATAATGAACACAGTTAATGTTATGATACTCGGACCTCGGGCATGACCATTGTAATACGAGTCAACCGACCGAACCAGACATATGGGCCATGGACTTAAGGCGCATACGACAAGCAACTCTTAGCACTAGGAGACAGAGACGAATTACAATACCTTGGTTAACACCGCCCCTTTGCTGTTCACACATGAACGAAGCCCATTCAACAAGGTGACTATATACTCACACATGGCAGAGCATGCATCATCATCATTAACCCAAAGCCCCTATCATTCTGCACTTCCACTATCTAATTTCAAGATTTCGCAACTATGTAATTATCCCCAGTTCCAAAGCAGCATTTCTTTCTCCTTTCCAACTCTCTACCCTGTACATTACATCGTAGACCAAGCCGAGCCGCTATGCGGTGGGTTCTTCGCGTTATCCTGCCCCGGTAGTTCGATGGAGACAACCCTTGGCGGCGTTGAATCCGCTGGCCAGTCTTGGCCGGACGGATACCGGTCCTCCTAGTGCCTTGTCGCCAAGTCCGCCGAGCCTTGGAAGACCGGGGTGGTTAGCGTACACTACGTCCGCCTTCCACTCCCGCCCGTAATGCCCCAATAACCGGCCGAGGGAGGATTCGCTTAAAGTCTTGTCCTAGGTAATGCTAAGACATTTGTATTCCATATTGCTCACCAACGAACCCGTGAGAGGGTCTCCCCTAACCCCGCGAGGCGTGAGAAAAGCAGGATTACGTGCTCTGTGAGATAGTCCTCTTGCTAAAAGCTTCTGCGTCCCACTCGGGTTCACTATTGATACCACGGAAAGTGGATAAAAAGAAGACGGTTGACTGACGGTTCGATACGTACCGTAAAATCTCGAAACTTTCACCCATTGCTGTTCCCTCGTATCTCTTTTCCACATCGAGCCTCAAACACTCCGAGTGCTTCTTTCCCTCAAGGTTCCATCATCCGGTGCTCTTCGCACGCCATTCTTCAAACCTCATATGGTGCCGAACAAGCCAAGAACTCACTTCGTACTCACCCCTCGCCCACGACTGGAACAAGTAGAGCCAACCCTCGTGTATATACGGGGGCCTTCCGCACCTGCACGCGGCAATGGACATGCTCAAGAAAATCGGGGCCTGGTTTGCTCCTCCGCCAAACAAAGCGGAAGACGGCCGTGATGCCTGGCCATCCCGAGCATCCTTCCTTCTGGCCTCAATGGGTGGCTGTGCGGGAATGGGGAACCTGCTACGGTATCCGTCCCAAGTGTACAATAACCACGGCCTGCAGTGGTACATCCCGTACCTGATGGCTGTTTTTATTGTTGCCATTCCGGTATTGGTTCTTGAAATCGCCATTGGGCAGGCCTACCGCGGCGGTAGTGTCGTCGCATACAACAACCTTAATCAGAGGTTGAAAGGCACTGGTCTGTCTCTGCTTTATGTCGGATTTGTCGTCACGCCGTATTTCGTCGTCAACTTGGCGTGGATTATGAGCTATTTCCGGCACTCCTTCACTAGTCCGTTGCCGTGGACCGGTCGCGGTGAGGAATTCTTCAACCGGGATGTTGTTTCCAACGTTGATCCGATTGAGGGTAGCCTCACAGCAGACGGCACCAGCGTTCTTAATTACACTCAGTATCCTGGAATCGGCCTTATTGGAGAAACAACCGGATGGGCAGCCTTCACCTTCTTTCTGATGTGGGTTTCCATCTTCCGCGGCGTTGGCTTGACTGGCCGCGTCGTCTACTTCACCATGGGTCTTCCCATCGTGGTAACCATTATCCTCATCGGCCGCTCCGTGTCTCTCGAGAACGCCGGCGAAGGTGTTAAGCTCTACTTCGCCACATGGAGAGGAAGTGAGCTGGCAAAGGGAACCGTTTGGCAGACGGCTTGCGGTCAAGTATGATGTTTCATAATTAATACATGTTTGTGTCCTGCTTTACTCAAGTTCCCCCGAATGCTGTCAATGACCTTGACGCAAAGTCTCTGTCTTTATTAACTGCTACATAGGTCTTCTTCAGCACAGGAGTTGGTTTCGGCTACTTCACATCGTACGCCTCCTATAACCGCCAGTACTCAAACGCAGTGATGGATTCCATCTTGATCGTCTGCAGTAACGTTCTCTTTGAGAATATCGCCGCTTTCGCCGTATTCGGTGTTGTAGGGTACTTGGGCATGCGGCCAGACCCCGAGAACCCCATCGGAGGCTTCACCGTCGGGTTCTTGACTCTCCCCCTTGCCGTTGCAGAGATGCCCGGCGCCAACTTTTGGGCCGTTGCTCTGTTCTTCACCCTCATGGTCCTTGGCTACAGCTCTGCCTTTGCCATGCTCGATGCCATCGTGACCTTAGTCATGGACACAGGCATCAAGTTTTCTCGCCCCATCGTCGTCACAGCCCTCACCATCTTATCCTTTCTTCTTGCGCTGCCGTATTGCACCGAGTTCGGATACTATCTTTTGACTGGCATTGATCGCTGGGTCAACGATATCGCGTTGGTTTTCGTCGTCTTCGCTGAATGCATCACATCCACAAGTGTCTATCGCTGTAAGGACGTTATAGGACAGGTGGGAAAGCCAGCCTTCATCATCTACAATACGTGCTACATCTTGGCGATGGTGCTAGGTGTAGCCGTTGCTCATGCTGTTCAAGCCGGAGCCGGGGCGGGTGTTGGTTTGGGGCTCTTCTTTGCTGGATGCATTGTATCTGTCCTCGTCTCAAAGACCCCAGACGCTACTCCGCCCAGGTTCTGGGGCAGAAATGTCTTTGTTAGCCGATTTTGGTACCTCGCATTCTACTCCGTAAGTCGATATTTGGTCAGTAACAGGAACAGTAGGGTTTTGCTAACCTATTTCAAAAGGGTAACCAGCTTCGGCGGGACCTGAATGTTGTCATTGGCAGTGGCAAGAACTGGAACATACCGATATTTTGGCCTGTTCTCCTGCGTTACATCTCAGGCCCTATCTTGAGCATTGTTTACGGCTTCTCATACCCGGCATTCTATCAAGTCCGCTACGACCCCTTGCACATCCTTGGCTTCGCAGTAGTTCATGTCGCCCTAGTTATGATCTTTGCCAGTTTTATGGTTCCGCGATGGTTTAATGTCTTCATCCCTGTTCATCGAAGGCAAGAGGGAAAAGTCCACTACGCCCCTTTGATAACGATTGGTG